TGCTACGCAGAAGCTGACTTCCTCAAGTACGGCGTAAAAGACCCACGCGGACATCTCCTCGCAGTAGTAAATGCACTACCTCGCAATTTCAACGGGCATGTCACAACTAGTATATTTACTAATAATGTGAAACCTTAAATCGATCTATTCTTAAACGTGGAGATCTAACCTATCGACCACTCAATAACGTCGACCTACAACATGGCTCAGCAGCAGGGATGTTGTTACGAATGAGAGAGGTTATTGATTAATGGACCCTCGACTATGGCCAGTTTATTCAGTTTTCCTTGTCTAACAGGTTCAGGCAGTGCCTCTCTGATCTCAAAGTAACACTGTAGACGCACTGACTTCACCTGCTGACCTAATTCAAGAGATCACCGGACGTTTCAATGCCGAGGTCTATCCGGTCAAATAAAAACATGAAACGACACTAAATGACGTTACAGAACTCTGTCATACTCTGACACGTTCCCTTATTATTGGTGATGAATGTAGGCGTTCCCAAACTCAATGTTCTTCACTGAAACGACCTGTCTCTAAATGACTAGAGACAGGTAACCGTGATTAGTGTTGGTACCACAGTAAGTATGAAAAATCTCGAATCTGCAGAAAAACCTGCAGTTTTCCGAGCTCTAAACCAACCGACACGAAAACTCTTTCGGAAGACCGGCACGCGTTAACAGCGACCATAGCCGGTGAACATAGCCGTCTGTTGTACAACACTGACGCAATGACGAAAGTTCGTTGTCCCATCGGCACTTACGCAGAAGTCGGAGTTCTTCATGCAAATTCTAACAACCATCTGCATGAATCAGTTTTCAACTCACATGCGTCAAATGGGAAGCTGATTGCTACACATGATAAATGATATGAGAACAATAATAAATATAAACATTAACGAGCTTCGGTTATTTGGATGAGAAGAAAGAAAACAAAGTAATGTAATTTCGTAAGTCCTACCCTGCTTTACTGACATTTTGATATACATCGAACCATGATTGTATAAACCATTGGTGATCACATTGATATATAATAAGTGAGGGAAACGACCTTCGAAAAAAAACCATCAAGTAGACTCTTGAATCGCGCCATAGTTTTGATGCAACGGAGTTTTACTGTAGGTCTGTTTCACATGGTTGTACAGCGAGTGACGACGAAATGCTAGGGTAAGCTTGTATCGGTTCGTGGGATCGATAAAATATTTTCTTTATTGCACCAGTTGTGAAACGATATGATAGAATACAAAGGGGTGGATGCAGAAAAGTAAGAACTTTTATTTATAGGCCTGCAGATGAAGACAAAGTTTGATTTAATGTGCTTGATTCACAGAGGTTTTAACTTGGGTCGTGGTAATCGATATTGTCGAAATGCTCCGAAAATGCCTTGGTGAATCTCCAGAATTATGGTCTAGTTCGTCGGTAGTACTGCTATAATAATCGGCCTAGTCTTAAAGTACAGATTTTCCATGATGTATCTACCTATTCTATACGATCTTATGTGGAAGTCACTGACTTATTGTATCGTAACAATTAACAATGTGATACTTAGTATTTCTGAAGAACACATTTAGGTTGGGGATAGGATAATATATTTAAGGCAGATAAAGACAAGTAATAGAGAGTGGCCACGTCTGCGAGGTTGAGCCATGATATCCGATTGACAGCATGAATATTCTGGCGTTCACCACTGATGGACTTCTCTCCGCGTTAAATGTTGAATGTCTATTTTCCGTTTATCTCATGTTCATCTTTGAGAGTTATGTGGTTAAAACCAATAACACTACAAATGGGCTCCATAATCCATAGACAGATGAACAGTTTTAAACAGCAGTCGAAATTCTCTACTACCGTATTCCGCAAATGATGCAAGAATCTCTTCAAGTCCACAGTCATAAAACTTTAGCAAGGCATGTTTGTTGGTTAAACTACATGCTCTGGTACATTGTTGTGGCCTTAGAGTCCGGTGATATAATATGAGTAATACTCAGTGTGACTCTTTGATCACTCAAAACATTCATGACAGTCCTGGATTGAATTAGGGTCGATGTTGATTGCGAATATTAAATCAAGTATGTTATTCCTCCTAGCTGCCTTTCAGTCCTGTTGGACTAATCCAAATATTTTGTTGGTTTAACTAACTTGTTATATGATCTTAATACCGAGTTCGAAATTTGTGTAATGTTCAGTAGATCAAAATAACCTCCAATGATTTTAAACGCATGCAGTTGATGCGAAACAATGAAAATTATGATTGCTCACAGTTTGTCAAGGTTTATATCCGTATGGGGTGGTTTGTATATACATCTCATCAGTAGGTAGCTTTGCGATTCACAATTTAAGGTAACTGCAGTCATCTAGAACATTAAGACATTCATTTTTAAGCTTACACGCTTGAATGTTCAAACGGACATAGATGATTGTGCCACCTCCTATTCCATAGTGTCTATCAGATCAAAGGAAAACGTAGTTGTCCACGTGTAAGAAGTGATCAGACATGTATCGTCTGCACCACGTTCCTGCAGTATTAATATAATGCTTGGGTTTACAAGGAATAAAGGGGTTTGAAGATAACTAATTTTATTAGAGAGAGAGTAGGCATTGAATGAAAGAAGAAAGTCACAGTGTAGATCATAGGTAGTAGTTTCATGAATACTCATGGAATTAGGTACGGTAAGAATTGTGTTGTAAGAGGGATTAGATTCAGCAACTTTGCCATCACCTGTATTACGTTTACCGTTTCCGGTAGAGAGGCCGGTGGAACCTCAGAAATGTCACCTGATTGTTATTGACTTTAACATATGATGGAGGTGCAGTTATATTGATTCTAACCACACGATACTTGAAACTGAAAATATTGTACTCGGGGAAACTCACATTCAACATCTAAAACAGAGAGAAAGTCAGCAATGGTGAACGCGGAGACAATTAATCGAAATGGCATGATCCCGTCATGTGTGCTTGATCACTCTCCGTAATCTCTTGCCATTTGCATTGAACATATTACTCTCTTTCCAGCCCAAATGGGTTCTTTAGAAGTGCTAGACGTCATATCACTGACTGTCACGACAGAACGAGTTAGTGTAGACTATGATTTGACTTACTCATAGGATCTTATAGATTATGTGGTGACATCAGGACAAATTTACAACTGTCGAACTTCAGTATCAAACAATCAAAATGAGTAGTGTGTACGAAAAATACATAAAACGAAGACTGATATAAATTAAAATTGAAGAGAGTCTCGGTGCGCACTTTTAAAGACGGTCTACATTATCTTCAATTAATGTACTTTATAACCAAAATATGTGAAACGGTTTTCTGGATAAAAGTGTTTACCATAAACTGTGACAGGCTCACCGAGTTAAACAAATTATTCTAGAAAGTATTCGGGTTACGGCATAAAAATACAGTTTAAAAGATAGTACATAAAAAAGTGTATGAAGTCCAGAGTACAATGCCATATTGTAGCGGTAAATAAATCCCCAAAATAAATAGCTCTGTAAGTTTTCAACATTAGATGTTGACCATGTGTTTTAGTGGACTCATTTAGCTGAAGGCGCTCGGTCATGCATCCGCACTAGATCACGTGTAGGAACGCCGTGCTCAGCTGCTTCTGCAATCGTTAGCCAGATTAGATCAGACAATTCCGATATACTGGCAATCGTCCAATACAACTTCTGATCTCCTCGATTCTGTCTTTTAATTTCTCTTGGTGGGTATGAGTTATATAAGAAGGTGTTACTGGTAAAAGCATTGTCAAACACTGAATACCTTTGCCATCTTCAGTATTAAAAATGATTATATTTTCGAGAATTAGATTGGGCCTACCGCCTATGTTATTCCTTTTCTAGTATGCTTCTGTGAGTGTTCGGTCTTCTCTTGGATGAGTCAATTGAAGGTGCGGACACCACTGCTTCGGTCAGCAGGTTCCAAGTATTGATGACTCGGTGTGAAAACCTGTATGCCACGGGTAGTTTGTTCGTTCTTGGCTTTTCTACTCGCCTACTATGTCCTCTGAGATGTCCCAATCTAGTGGGAAGAAAAAGAGATCCAAAGTAATTTCTCAATATTCTGCACATCAAAATTAGATCTCCCCTTAATCTGCTATAGGACAGAGTAAAGAGGTCCAGTTTTTCAAGCCGCTCTTTGTATGGTGAACCCCGGAGTTCTGGGACTGCAGGGGTGCCTGCCCTCTGTACTTTTCCTAAGATCTCCAAGTCACTTTTTAACAGGGGCCTACAACCTGAACGCATTTCTCTAACTTAGTTCTCACTAAGGATGTGTATACTGTGGTGAACATGGTAGAATCTAACTTAGTGAATGTCCGTTTTAAGGCCTAGATGTTTCGAAACGCTTTAGCAACGACCTTTCGGCAATTGGACGTCGTCTTAAGACCATGACTCATTGCCACTCCTAGATCTTTATGAGATCGGACAACAGGTAATGGCATTTCTCCTATGTTGAATGAATCTGAATCTGTTCTTCCTAGTTCCGCAATATAATCGTAGTTTCATGCATCTCCACTGAATTGTGTCGTCTTTTATCTCCGGTGTTTTCACAACTAGAAACGCGTGAAAACATACCCTCCTGCAAATAGTTATGCTATCAGACACTCGCCGTTGGTCAGAGAAGTTTGTTATCAAGTACGCTACGCTTTAAAAGATATTAAACTTTTTATAGACATCCCTGGCATGATGTTGTCAGTTCTGTACAATTTAAATATCCCAACCCATACAATCCAAACGTAATAAACATAGATGTTATAAATCGTCAAGTCGACCTTACCGGTGGTGCTATGCTCAGTTGCAAGCTGATTAACTCTTCATGGCCCATGTTTCACATGGGTCACCTGAAGGCTTTGGAATATAGTTGTATTCAGGTTCCAAACAAAAGAATGGTCTCTAATACAATAAATATCAACTTCCGAGGTCTCATATCGTACTCAGATGAGAAAAGGTCCGGGATATATTTGAATTATCGAACATTGATAGGGCCAGATTCAACTACTAGTGGTATTTTCGTTTTGCACCTTGTATTGGTCTAAAAGTTTGCTAAAGGGTTGTTAAATACTTGTATAGCAAATTAGGATTGTCATACAACATCACTAGTAAATACTGCAACAATGCTGAAATTTTTAAAATCACAATAATGTTTATCAATACTTGGCAGAGACTTAGGGTTTATTATTTTATTTGAACACATAAATATTGGTACAAGAGGGCACCAAATATATATGCATATGAGACGACCTAATGACATAATAAAGTTTATTAGACCGGATAATATGTAGTCACAGCTTGTTAACAAATTTCCAAGGTGTACTGATCCTGCAGGTAGACTGGAGGATTTGTCCCAAGCTCCTTATTTTGGGGAAACCTTGGGGAATTCTGGGTAAATTTTGGAGTTTTTACTAAAGTCGTAAAACGTTTGGTAGTTTTCCACGAAGTTGGGCGAAATCTTGGGTTTTCCACAAACATTTTGGGGATTTTCCTGGGGAAATTTTGATGTTTTTGTACTTTTCTTCCAAAGTATTTTATTGCAGCTCCCTCAAAATTTAAGAAAAACAAAAAAATTTCGAAAATAGCGAGATCGGGATGAAGGGACTAACAAGGTTGTGTAGTAGTTTCCGTTTCCAAAATGGACTTTTGTATCATAACCATTGTCAGCCACACACGTTCGTACAAAGTTCTACGTTGTTACTGACTGACTGACAGACGTATAATAGTTAATGTCTGGGTCAACTTTAGGTAATTCATTTAAAAAGTGTTTTGCAAACTCCAGAATAGTCTTGAAACTACTAACTTTTGACGCATGTAAATGACCTACTTGTTGTGTTGGTGTCACTGCAGTGACATTGAAGTCATGAAATTATTCTATGCCGACTGTTTTGAAATGTATAGCAATGCAAATGCCCTGGTACGGCCGAGGGTGGGGAAAGTCCACTCTCCCTCTCGAAATGCTCTCATATGGCCACGTGTATATATCCTCTACCAGGGAAGTCCTACTCACTGCCTTCTCGTGGCGAGGGTGTTGTTTACGAAATTGAGAGGATGAAAAGCGAACGTTCGGCGCTTTAACCGGTTTGGTGGACACAGAGGCTCCACCTAGGGGAGTTGGAAAACCTTGATTCCAAACCAATGGTGCACATGGGCTCCAGGACCCTGAGGGAACAAATGGCGTATGAACCAATCGTTGGTCACCAGCTACCATAGGACTGCATTTCCTTACGTTGCTTCACTGCCTTGTGGATTAGACCTTCAGGTCAAAGGCTCCGGGTGTGGTCCCATAAGAAAACCACTCGCCTCAGTCTGGGCACTCGGGTAGTATCACAGCCCTCACATAAATCAATGATAACTGCTACTGGCCTCGTTGTTATCTTGTGGCGCATATGTATTTGATGCCCCCTTGTAACAATGTTTATGTGTCCAAAATAATGAATAATAATAATAAAAAATTCCGGAATGGATGTAATAGCTTTAAAATCACTCAAACGTTTTAGCTGAGCGGTCAAATATAATGAAATATATGTCGGTTCCTATCGACTACCAAATGTAAATTAGATACATAGTCATTACGGTTGATTTGTTCACTACACTGGGCATTGTTGTGGTCTGCTTGAATTGAAGATCTAAAATCCACTTCTGTACAGACTGTAAGTGGATTTGAGATGCTTTGTGCATCATTTAGCGTATTTAGTTATCTAGGTACAAGAGCCTTATGGAGCACTAACTTATATCAGTGGTCACATTTTTTAAAGTCTATGTACTAGCTAGCTGTAACTAGGTAGCTATTCTTAATGTCATTTGATTCTAGTTTTGGTAGCGTCCCAAAAAGTTGCGGTATTTTATATTTTTATGCAGTTTACTTTTCGAGTCATAATATACCTTACACGAATTAGGTAAAGCCCATCTCATGTTTAGGGAGTAGTCCACTCTACTTCCATCGAATTATCTCAAAAAAATGGGCAAAAGGTAAGTATAAGACATATTAACAACTGATACTCGTTGAACAAATAGCCAAAACAACTTTGTTGTTCAGTGGCAAACACTGTTAATGTTTGTCTAGTTAATATTAATTTAAAGACAATGTACTCAAAGATATAATCTCAGTAGTAATTTCAACATCAAAATATAGATACATTCATCTAACGATCATCAAATTGGATAAATTATGTCTTGGATTCCACTAGTGGTCTCTATCGATTCCAAACAAGATAAGTCTACAAGTAGTATTGAGACATTACTATTGAAATCTTATACAGTAACTAGATGCTGGTTAATTCTCGCGAAGAGTCAGTGGTAATAAGTTACCCACTCGTTTTTTGACGTAATTATTAAGATGAACAAGGATTTAAATGATGAGCGTTTCATCAGGACCTATTATAGGTTTCCTTTTATTCCATGGCTCGTTGAAAGAACAACGAAATAAGGGGATTTTACTACCAATCACTGTTGCATGCGTTTTCTCAAAGTTTGTGTTTCAGTTCATGTTGTTAATTGTACTCAAATCTTCAAGGCTTAATGTCTGCGTACCAGCTGATTTGGGTAGGAATTCAAGCAGTTGGTTGTGTCCGCTTCTAATGCTGTACAAGCAAATTTTTGGTGTAGATATTTGTTTACATGGTTGCTAAATTATCTGTTCGCTCGTCAACCAAAATGAATGCTGTGGGACAATTCACTATTTCGTATTATCAATCCTAAGACAATACTTGGTTTTAAGTGGCAGTAACATTTAAGCATCACTTTCGTGTGATATAACCAGTGTATGGGAGATTTCAAAGTTAGGCGTAAGTTTTTCACACGGGAAGTAGTTCATTCGATAGTCATAAACTTACATCAAATGAATTAGGTGGGACACATTGTTCATGCAACTAAATGTTTTATACTTTCTACGTTCCTGATCAGACCTAATAATTGGTGTCTGGTAAAGTATAATTCTTAAGACATAACTGCTGAAAATCTTCACCCTATTTAAGGACGCGATCCCTAAGACGAGTCCTAAGAATGATATCTATCCGAGGCTTTTATTATCCCTCAAACTTCGCGATTATTATCGTAATGTGGCTGAACCGAATAGCTTCAACACAATTGCAAATACAGTCTAAAAGTTTAATCATTTACAACCAAAATCGACATGGAACTTTTTTTAAAACCTCATCGATTCAAAAAAATTCCTTACACCGCTTTAGTCTTTTGGTAATTTTATCAAGAGCCAGATTTCAAATGGAGTTGTTTGTATTCTAGATTATCACGTAAATTTGATATATTTGGCTGTTCTAATTTAAAACAAATTGTTTTTTTTAAAATTTCCCATAAAAACGGTATTGTCGTCCCACCCTTACCAAATTATTGTTCCTAGTGATTACCCGCATTCCGAAGCCTTTTTCTCTTTTTGTGTCCATGCTATTCTTTGTTCTTTTATTTTAAAAGTGGAACCTTCATTTCAACTAATCATCACTGTTTATCAATTTTAGTCTCATGTTGAATATGTGATGCAATGGATTTATTTTTACGTCATGCAGCTGAAGCCCTTGTGAGTTATTCTTTGTTTGGATTATTGAACACGATAGTTAAATTTCGATTTAATTTAAGATAATTATTATTGTTCAATATTTTTAGCATTCAAGTTGTAAAAGTAAATGGATTCTTGTTGTTGGAAATGAAGCATGTGATCTAGATAGTACAGCATGTGCACTTGCCTATGGATTTTACAAACAAATGGTAAGTCGAATTACTTATTCCTCTCATATATATTTATGTAGAAGCTTGAAAATGAGTTCATTGTTATACCTGTATGTAGTATCAATAGAGAAGATATGGTTTTGCGCACTGAAGTTACCTTTTGGCTTACTCAATGTGGTCTCAAATGGGAAGAGTTGATTTATCTGGATGATGTTTTCAATGAAACCTATTCAAAAGTGAATGAAAATGAATTATTTTTAATTCTAGTTGATCATCATTTACCAACGAAAAAGTTTAATGAATGGCCAACCATTGAAATAATTGATCATCATCAGTTAGTTAATACTGAAACCGTTGAAAATTGTCCTTTTAAGCAAATCGATCTTGTCGGATCCTGTGCCACTCTAATCACTTTCGAAATTTTGAAAGGAATGGATGGTAATTATTTACCAAGCAATGTATGGAAGTTGCTTTATGGTACTTTAAAAATGTATGTGTACTTAATGTTACATTTTTGTAGGTGCCATACTTATTGATACAATCGGACTTTCTAATGCTGGTCAAATGGCTGGACGATTAACAGAATTAGATCTCCGCATGGCTAATCGTATCGAAGATATCATTTACAATCAGATTTTCACTCCAAATGTTTCAAGAAATTCCTTATTTACTCAACTGGAAACAGCAAAATTTACTGTTGATGGTAATATTGTTATTAGATACACAGGTTATTCACCGATCAAATCATTTGATGCAAAGTATTCAGAAAGAATCGTTCAGCATATCTTATAATCAACTAAATAGTATACTTAGCTCTTAGCGGTTAAGTGGACACATGACTGTTTACACTATCGTTGTATAGGTTTGCAAATGGTGATAATGATCAGGCCATTAATATAGTTGCTGAAGTTGATAAACCAACTAGAACATTTTGGACTCATTGCGATGGGCTTGTTGTGCGATTCTTGATTATAAGAGTTCAGTGCTCGAATATAACAATCAGAAATTATTTTTGTACTTTTTGAAAGTACCAAACTTTTTCTATAGTTCTTAAAATATCAGATAATTTCAAAAGAGTTAAGTTTACCTACTTACTTACTTACGCCTGTTAGAACTAATGGAGCATAGGCCACCAACCAGCATTCTACTATCCACTCTGTTCTGGACCTTCTTTTCTAATTTCATCCAATTCTTGTTCATTTTTCTCATGTCTGTCTCCATTTCCCGGCATAATTTGTTCTTTGGTCTTCATTTTTCCCTCTGGCCTTCAGGATTCCATGTGAGGGCTTGTCTTGTGACGCAGTTGGGTGCTTTCCTCAATATGTGTCCTATCCACTTCCAGCGCTTCTTCCTAATTTCTTCCTCCTCTGAGATCTGGCTTGTTCTTTCCCGTAGTTGGTTGTTAATAGTGTCTGGTCAACGGATCGGAACTATTTTGCGTAGACAACTGTTAATAAACACATGTATCTTCTGGATGGTAGCTTTCGTAGTTCTGCAGGTTTCCGCTCCATACAGTAGAACTGTCTTGACATTTGTATTGAAAATCTTGACCCTGGTGTTGGTTGACAGTTGCTTTGAGTTCCAGATGTTCTTCAGTTGTAAATATGCTGCTCTTGCTTTACTGATCCGCGCTTTCACATCTGCATCAGATCCACCTTGTTCATCAATGATGCTGCCCAAATATGTAAAGGTTTTTATATCTTCCAAATCTTCTCTGTCAATTGTGACTGGACTAGTGCATGCTCTGTTGTATCGGAGAATCTTGCTTTTCCCTTTGTGTATAAAAGAGTTAAGTTTGCAGATGTTATTTACGAAAGGAATCTCATGAAGTTAATCTGTTTGATTTTAGACGATAATTTGCTGTTAGCTTTTTGAATACATATTCCACAGTTGGGAGGTATAAAAAATGTATTAAAATTCCTTGATACTTTTATTACGATTATGCACGTCATAGCTGATAATGACAAATTCGATTCGCAATCAAAAGATCTGATCAAAATACTAGGTATTCAGCACATTTATCTTGTGAGTATATTCTTTATTCGACATATTTTAAATGTTAGATCGAGGGATGTAAATAGATGCCTTGTGTTGATCAAGGTTAATATTTAAGGGTTTCCATTGTATCAGTTGACTGATGCTAATAACAATCGGCCTATTCAGTACTTTATGTTTGGTACGATAAGGAATTCTCATCACACCGTACAAAATACTGGGACGATTTTTTATGTATTTACATCTTAATTTTAGTAGTCGTGTGAATATATATTTATTTTATTTTAGCACATAGATACTGGTACAAAAAGGCACCAAATGTATATGCGCCACACAGATCTCATTTGATATGTGTGAGGGCCGTGATACTGCCCGGGTGCCCAAACCGAAGCAGGTGGTTTTCTTAGGTTGCCACACCCGGAGCCTTCGACCTGAAGGTCTGATCTACAAGGCAGTAGAGCATCGTAACCCTACCGAAGCTGCTACCTTGACGTGGTGGTTGGGTTTACCTATCGTGATGACCCAACCGAGCTATATTGGCTGGAAAATATGTTCCTGTAGGTTCTACCATGCCAGGCAGGTCGATTGGAGAACGGTAAGACTAAAAGCAGCAACTCAAGGTCTGAGGGTGAAGTCGTACTGCTGACTGTGGAGGGGTGTGACAGCAGTAAGGTGTTTCACTCGGGCAACCAGCATCTGCAGCGATGCTGCCTTCCCACAAGGAGGGGTGGGGTTAGAAAAGGTCGACCCTAAAATGTCACACCTCACCTTACCTCACTGATTTCCGTCTCCGGCGGTAAGGCCCTTTGAAGAACGGAGCTAACTCATTAAAAACCTTCCACAAAAGGGCCGTGCGCGACCGGCTTCAAGCAGTTGTCTCTTGGGCTCTGCGGTCACGCTCCCAGGTCGTTAAGACCAACACTAATCCGACTTCTTTTTCAGGTTCCCCAAGAAATACCCTTCCACGGTATGGGCAGCCGGGAAGTGATATCAGCTCTCATACCCGTAACAGCGCACGAGACCAAGTTGGTCACATTCAAATCCTTCCTACACCTTCTAATACCTCTCTTATCTCCATGACTAACCCTCCTCACGTCTCTTTATCACCTCGCACCGCTAGGGCAAACGATTCGAGTACGCGGAACGCTATTCCTGGTCTCCTGAAACTACGCTCTAAACTACACGTAGGAGCTTTTAACGTCCGAACACTGTGCCAAATAGGACGGCAGGCTTCCTTAGCTAAGACTTTAGAATCCCACGTCATCGATGTGTGCTGCGTCTCCGAAACGCGCATACAGGATCCGAGTAGCGTTATTCACTTGACCTCACCATGCCAAAATAAAGAACCGACTCGATTCACACTTCGTGTATCTGGAAGCCCTGATTCTGCTTCCCGTGGCCTCGCCGGCGTAGATATAGCATTGAGTCCTAGGGCAGAACTAACTCTCTTAGAGTGGATCCCAGTAGACAGTCGTTTGTGCGCTGTCCGATTGAACGGAACAGTAAGGGCTCGGAAAGATAGGGACACTCGTCGTTGCCTCTTCGTCGTTTCTGCCTATTCTCCCACTGACTGCAGCGCAGATGATGTAAAAGATTAGTTTTACAGAAAGCTTTCCGACCTTCTTCGAAAAGCTAGACACTCGGATGTAGTAATAGTGGCCGGTGACTTTAATGCTTAAGTAGGTAAACTAAGCGATAGGGAAAGACACCTGGGTGGATCTTATAGCATTGTGGCTCAAAGAACAGATAATGGCGACCGTCTCTTGCAGCTATGCTCAGATAACCTCCTCTTTCTTGCAAATACTAACTTTAAACGTAAGGAAAAACATCTTTTAACATGGAGACCTCCTAATTCATCCCAACGTTGGACCTAAATAGATCACATCGCTATCAACCACCGATGGAGGGGCTCGATAGAAGACTGTCGCTCATTCTGGAGCACATGCTTAGATTCAGATCATGCTCTAGTACGAGCGCGTATCTGTCTGCGTCTTACTGGACGTAGGAAAGACGCAGCAAGTAAGCCTCTTAGGGCCCCACTTAATGATAGTCAAGCTAAGAGTATATTTCAGGAACAACTAGGAAAACAGTTAGGCAGCCATGTACGTGATGCCCACCCCGAGGCAGAATGGAATGATGTCTGAAAAGCTGTGGAAACAGCAGTGATATCTGTTAGTACGGTAACCCGTAAGGTTAGGGAGCAACACTGGATCTCAGCAGCATCTGATAGATGCTCGAAAACGCATTCCATCTGGCTCTGAAAATAACGAAGAGCGGAGTCAGCTTAAGCGCAAGCTGACAAGAAGTCTACGCAACGATCGTGAACAGTGGTGGATAGCGCAAGCAAAAGAAATGGAAACGGCAGTGGCAATAGGTAATAGCAGACAATTGTTCAGACTTGTTAAGGAAACCGGTATTAGGAAACCGACTGTTAGCGAAACAATCTCAGAGAAAGATGGACATATTATACATTCTCAATCCAGGAGGTTGGATCGATGGGCAGAACACTAGGGATCAGTTCAACTGGCTTTCAGCCACACTTCGGTTTCTCACGATCTCCAGTCAACCTGAATGGCAAGTTAATGTAGATCCTCCGACTCTTTACGAAGTTGAGAAAGCCATAGGAAATCTGAAGCGAGGGAGAGCAGCAGGCCCTGACAGGTTTACTCCTGAGATTTTTAAGGATGATGGTTCAGTATTAGCAGTGAGATTAACTGATGTATTAGGTAGGATTTGGGAGCTGGACGTAATCCCATCTTACTGGTCTCAATCACTGATTGTGCCAGTCTATAAGAAAGGACAAACGTCCTCTTGTGACAATCACAGGAATCAGTTTGACTAATATAGTGTCTAAAATATTAGCTTCAATAATACTTCGACGCCTAACCAAAGCTCGTGAAGAGCAGACTAGAGAAAATCAGGCTGGTTTTCGACCTGGACGTGGTTGTATAGACCAAATATTCACACTACGTCAGGTTCTAGAACACAGACACACATTCAGACGCCGCACATTGGTAGTATTTCTCGACCTTAAGGCAGCATTCGACTCGGTTGATCGTCAGGTTCTATGACAGTGTTTGTCACTGAAAGGAGTACCAAAGAAGTACATTAACCCTATAAAGGCTCTCTACTCGAACACAACTGGTGAAGTGAGAGCTTATGGCGAACTGTCATCAGAATTGATTACCTCAAGTGGTGTTCGTCAGAGCTGTCCACTCTCTCCATTCTCGTTCAACTTTGTCGTTGACGTACTTTTAGAGATAACACTTTCCTCATCTAAATTTCTAGAGGTTGAACTTCTACCAGAAGATTCACTTGTTGACTTAGAATATGCTGATGACATAGTTTTATTTGGTGAAGACGCTGACAAAATGCAGAGTCTTCTGATCACTCTAAGCAACAATGCAAGCATGTTCGGGATGCGATTTTCCCCCTCGAAATGCAAAATGTTGCTTCAGGATTGGGTTGCACTGACACCCGAACTAATGATAGTGAGTGAAGTAATTGAGCGTGTCGATCGCTTCACTTATCTTCGAAGTCTCATCAGCCCTTGTGGTCTGGTGTGTGACGAAATCTCAGTACGGATGCAGAAGGCTCGACTAGCTTTTGCCAACTTGCGTCATTTATGGCGTAGGCGAGATATCCGTCTATCAACCACAGGACGGGTTTACTGTGCAGCAGTTCGTTCCGTCTTACTTTATGGCAGTGAAACATGGTCGGTAAGAGTAGATGATATTCGTGGGTTACTAGTATTTGATCATAGGTGTCTTCGAAATAGTGCTCGGATATCCTGGGACCATCGAGTAAGTAATGCAATTGTTAGGAAGCGGGTACAAGGTAAGGATGGCAAATCAATTGATGAAGTAGTGAAACTTGATTAGTTGAGATGGCTGGGACATGTGTTACGTGTGCTCCACTACTGACTGCCTCGACGTGTGATGTTTTCTGGTTTAGGAGTAGGTTGGAAGAAAGCTAGGGGCGGCCAGACCAAAAACTTGGCACAAGTCCATGAAGTCACTGACAAGTGGTTTGAGTCATGTCGGTAAGTGTAGACTACCTGGTTGGGGACCGCGAGATGATAGCAACCGATGGTTAGCGACCCTGAATGACATAGCTCAAAATCGTTTGCAATGGCACAGGTGCATACACCCTTTGTGTTCTCCCAAATTTTGATCTCCTTATTCCTCCTTGTCTCTTTTTTTCTCTTCCCAAATTTATTTCACTGTATCATACTCTTTAAGTAACATCTCCAAACACTAATCTTTCTGATTACTGCTTATACTCTTACTACCTCTACCACTACGGGATTTGAATCGACCACTGCATCTCTGTGCTAATGTGGTGTGGCAACTCGAACTGATGTACGTAGGTATGAAGTTCTACGTTGTTACTGAATGACGGACTGAGAGCATCGTAAGGAGATGCAGTCCTATGGTAGCTGGTGACCAACGATTGGTTCATACGCCATTTGTTCCCTCAGGGTCCTGGAGCCCATGTGCACCATTGGTTTGGAATCAAGGTTTTCCAACTCCCCTAGGTGGAGCCTCTGTGTCCACCAAACCGGTTAAAGCGCCGAACGTTCGCTTTTCATCCTCTCAATTTCGTAAACAACACCCTCGCCACGAGAAGGCAGTGAGTAGGACTTCCCTGGTAGAGGATATATACACGTGGCCATATGAGAGCATTTCGAGAGGGAGAGTGGACTTTCCCCACCCTCGGCCGTACCAGGGCATTTGCATTGCTATACATTTCAAAACAGTCGGCATAGAATAATTTCATGACTTCAATGTCACTGCAGTGACACCAACACAACAAGTAGGTCATTTACATGCGTCAAAAGTTAGTAGTTTCAAGACTATTCTGGAGTTTGCAAAACACTTTTTAAATGAATTACCTAAAGTTGACCCAGACATTAACTATTATACGTCTGTCAGTCAGTCAGTAACAACGTAGAACTTTGTACGAACGTGTGTGGCTGACAATGGTTATGATACAAAAGTCCATTTTGGAAACGGAAACTACTACACAACCTTGTTAGTCCCTTCATCCCGATCTCGCTATTTTCGAAATTTTTTTGTTTTTCTTAAATTTTGAGGGAGCTGCAATAAAATACTTTGGAAGAAAAGTACAAAAACATCAAAATTTCCCCAGGAAAATCCCCAAAATGTTTGTGGAAAACCCAAGATTTCGCCCAACTTCGTGGAAAACTACCAAACGTTTTACGACTTTAGTAAAAACTCCAAAATTTACCCAGAATTCCCCAAGGTTTCCCCAAAATAAGGAGCTTGGGACAAATCCTCCAGTCTACCTGCAGGATCAGTACACCTTGGAAATTTGTTAACAAGCTGTGACTACATATTATCCGGTCTAATAAACTTTATTATGTCATTAGGTCGTCTCATATGCATATATATTTGGTGCCCTCTTGTACCAATATTTATGTGTTCAAATAAAATAATAAACCCTAAGTCTCTGCCAAGTATTGATAAACATTATTGTGATTTTAAAAATTTCAGCATTGTTGCAGTATTTACTAGTGATGTTGTATGACAATCCTAATTTGCTATACAAGTATTTAACAACCCTTTAGCAAACTTTTAGACCAATACAAGGTGCAAAACGAAAATACCACTAGTAGTTGAATCTGGCCCTATCAATGTTCGATAATTCAAATATATCCCGGACCTTTTCTCATCTGAATACTATATGAGACTATATCGACACGTAGGAAACTGGTTCACGGTCGACAAAATATGGCACTGCAGGGAAGTTATCCGCTTTCTGATCCACGACCTAAAAGCGTCTGACTAACTGCGGCCACTTGGAATGATGTATTACTTGATTCTCTTTAGTCACATGGCTTTAGTTTTTTAATAATCTGAATTATTCCACTTCTTATTACAGAGTAAATAAAGGATAGTTCTGTTACATTTATTTCTGACTAGTACTTGTCAGTGTTATTACAGAATCCTATTTCACACTGATGTCTGAATGGTATTTTAACTCATAAACTCATCCTGTTTGTATTAGACCTCAGAGATTTGTCTTGTTGTGTTGTATAAGCTAAGTAAATCCACATTGATGAAATACTTTTGAATTATTGGTTTAACTGTTTTGTCCATTTCATGTTAAACTTAACTAGACTTTTTGGGTGAAGATTTGGAAAACTGTAATTTGATATTTCATATTGTAATTAAGCCCGTATGTACTTAAACTTGTAGCATTAATCAGTAGATGATTGTTCAAGATCATTTAGTCATCATTACTTTTGAATAGAATATAATTACTCATGGTTATGAGTAGAGTATACAAGGTCTAGTGTTAATCATATGTTGGTGCAATAAAACTTCACAACATAACACTTTATTTAATAAAAATTAAAACTTTTAAATAAATTTAGGAAAATCTTAAAATTTCCCTACATGTAAGCCGTAGTTACGATCAATTCTATAATTGTTCGTTTTTATTTATGAATTATTTTTGTACAGGGCTATCTACATGGGATTTATTACGTCGTGATATGAAAATTGTTTCTAGTCCAAATAAAGATGCGTTCCAATTTGTGTGCTCTACTGTATCTGGAGTTGATTTTACGGTAAGCTGTGAGTTGTATGACAGTGTTTATTAGTGCCAACTGGTAGTTGTCTATCAGTTTAAGCCTTTTTATGGGTTTACATTTAAAACTTACAAAGTATTCTTATCTTTTGGATGATAAACAATAAGCAGTCAGTTTATTTAATTGTAGTAAAATGGTTTTTCCATTGGGATTTGGCTCCTATCACTCACAGAATCATTGGAAACTAAGACATGATACCGGACAGATACCTCTTTCTTGTTTGGAACTCGGTAGTAGTTACGTAAAATCATGTCAGGAAGTAAACTGAAGACTTTTACGTCTTGCGATAAGTGCAATGCGTTTTGGGCCTGTCGTTTTGAGTTCACTGGTCTAAATTTTTTACTCCGTTCATTTCACAATATTTCATAACCATCTGTCTGCATTCTGATACAATGATTAAGTTCAGTTGACTCAGTTAATCAGTTTTCCTTTAAAACTTCGAGAATACTTCTTAAAGCTAGGTCATTAATGGGAACACATTTTGGCAACGTAAGCGGTTTGTGGAGATTATTCATTTCAGAGTTAATTTTCATCTTGGTCTGGATAAGGACTAGATATGGAATCCCATACTAAAACTAAACATCTGGTCGGTACTTTTTGGTTTCCAATGGTTCATCAATTAATATCGGTCTGTTTATTTGTTAGAGTCCATTTTACTCAATTATTCTTTGCATTGAACTATTGATTTTAAGAGTGAGATAATTCTTAAATCCTGTTTAGTGGATTACAGTGCATTAAAAGTCGTCCATAATTGTTTGTGCTCAATAAGGTTTGCTTAAAGTTTGTTAAGTCTCCAAGATTTGTCCATACCAATTTGAAAGCAGTTTTTTCCTAAATTCTGGAAAAATGCCACCAATGGCGAAATCAAAACATTTTTAGATATTAAATGTTTATTTATTTATTTATTTCACTGTATTATACTCTTTAAGTAACACTAATCTTCCCGATTACTGCTTATACTTTTATTACCTCTACCACTACGGGATTTAAATCGACCACTGCATCTCTGTGCTAATGTGGTGTGGCAACTCGAACTGATGTACGTAGGTACGAAGTTCTACGTTGTTACTGTCTGACTGACTGAAATGTTTGCGAAATGACTAAGGATCAATGAAGTAACACGCGACTAAGTTGGTTCGGTTTCCATCTACCTGTTAGACTTTCATATAAACAAGAAAGTGCTATAAGGAACTTGGAGGTGTATGATATTCGCATCACTTTGTCATTCAATAAATAAGAATAATACTTCGATGTTCAAGTCATTTGACTTCCTACTACTGATTTGTATGTTCGAAACATTCTCTGCCTGTTTTGATTTTGACAGATAAAGGTTACGCTATTTTTCCAGACATTACGTCAGTAATACTCTCGAATAAATTCGTTCTGTTCGTGAAATTTTCTGCCTTATTAATCATAAAGTTTTTATTCAAATTCACTATTGTAAAGCTAAATTTTAGGCTGTTCTTTCTTCCATTAGATGTTAATTAATTCTCCTGACTTTACTGAAGCAGCCAATCGGATATGTGCTAAATATAATGCCAATTTACTTGTTTGTCTTACTGTTGGCTATCCCTTATCGGAAAGTTCATCGATACCTTCATCGGAGTTGACAACTTTTCGAAGAAGAGCTCTGATTCTGTATAATATGAATTTTCCTGCTGGACGTTATAATGATGCAAGTATTTACATTTAGTTTCATCTCATTAATTCTTGTCTGTGTTTATTTTTGGAACTATGTATAGGGAGTTTGTACTGAATGTAATTTATTTTAAACTTATTAAATATAACACTTTAAAGCAGTATTAGGATTATCTGTTATACTCCTACATGTTGTTCTGTTTCATAGGTTTTATGGTGATATATTTATTAATTTTTTACTATCTATGGAGAGTTCTTATCATCCCATCTAAATGGGATTTCCACAGGACTTTTCAACTTTAATACTGAAAATGGGCAAGATAATTTTTTCAGCTGTTTGCTAGATTTTATGCCCAATAATTTGAAGTGTTCAATGTATTGCCCTATTCAACTCCCCTCTACTTTGTTTCAAAGTACTTATTTAAAAAATTGAATGAAAATAATTAGTGAGTTATTTCTCATCTTTGAAATTTAGTTCACTTTCGTTTACCAAAGTTTCATGTTGTAGGTCATTATTTATACAATCCATGTCAGTCGGTAATGTACTGGGATTTTTCTATGATAAAACCTATTCAAGTAATAACATAATTTGTTAGTCAAGTTTCCACAACCGAATGTCATAGACAACTAAACGATTCTTATTCTAAATTACCACACTACATTACTAAAAGTTTTGTCTCTTTCATTTTCTATAAAGTTTCTTAGGTTAATACTTAAGTTCATTTGGATATTCACGATTAGCTATCAGTTCAAGGTTATTTTAAAGTGTAGGGTGTGTAGCCATGTCAAGCTGCTAATTTCAGTAATTCATTGATTCATTGTGTACAAAACTACGAAGCTATTAAATGATTACCACCAATAAAATAACGATAAGAGTTAATTGCTTTTGAATTGTCAAATTGAACTTAAATCTTTTGCACTTAAGCCTACTTTTATTCATTATTTATTGTTTCCTATTTATTATAGCTGATTAAATTTCTCCTGAATCCGAAGCTTAATCTAGATTTACTTCCTCAGTCTGTCCCCGATTTCAGTCATTTTATAGCAATTGTGAATAATATCAAAATGACACGTAAAATCCTACTACCTTTATTGGTACAGTTTCTTCAGCAATTGGGGTCTCCAAGTGATACTGACACTTCCGATAACAATCCCAAGAATGATATCGACAGTAATGATGATTGTAACAATGTTGTTATGGAGTCAGACACAAACAATAATATCTCTTCAACAAATACTAAGAGTTCACATTCACTTGATACAACTCCCAAGGTGGGTCTATTTTTGGTGTAGCCAAATAAACAATTAGTACCCAACCTACTTTTTCCGAAATAAACCTTGAAGACGTCTTTTGCCTTCGTATTTCAACTTACAGAATTATTTATTCCTTTATCTTACTGATTTGATGTATAGTGATTCAATGGTTCGATAAAAAGTATTGTTTTTTTACTGGCTTTTATCCTCTGAGAGCTATTTATCGAGAAATAAATATGTTAAACTGTGTAATCAAATAATATTTTTATTCATGATTTCAAATGAATGGATATTGTTTGAGTACATAAAATTAAGCAACTTATTAATCACATACGAAATCATACAACAAACTGAAAATCTTACATTATCAATTTAAAAACTGTATTATCTGACTGTCTAAAATCTAGTCTATAATGTGTTGAATAGAGTTATGTATGTGAAACGTTAATTAGAATTATTTCAAGAGCTTTGTATATTTTATACAGTCTTTTTCATTTATAGATTTCAATAAAGTCAAAAACAACGATCTTAATAGAGCAATACAAATTGATTAATTTTGTAAATTTTTTCACCTGCTCACAATCTAGAAATAGTAGTATAAATTATTCAAGTCAAAATATATAAAATTTTTTTGATTAAATCTGGATTGTAAACAATAATTGTAAAAGAATAAAAAATTTTTTTCAAATAATTATTTACATATAAGCTAAATATATGAATATAGTTTAGACGAGAAAGCTGAGAAGGGAATGGAAACAGGGTTTTTTCAAATGAAAGATTTATGTCATAGTCTATAAATTATAGTTAACATAAATTCTGACATATGTTACGTTAATCATCCAAAAAATATTACATTTCGATCGGATGGGAAAATAGTGAATCACTATTGATTCGAGAACATCATGATATCCAGGTAACATAAATTTCCTGTAAATGATGTAAATGTACGATAGCTAACTATCATAGTTATGTGCGATAAGTGTTGGGGGAAACACTTCTGGGGTACTATTGTTCCATTTCTTTATCAAATAAGCTTTCACTTTGTTGACCAAGGTTTTCATCAAAATTGGGATAAATTCACTTTATATCTTTCCTCTCTCTCATTTCATACTTCTTTAAAATGAAAAGTATTTAAATCTCCCAATTATTTTAAGGTTGTTAAATACATTAAATTTCTTTAATATTTAATGACGAAATTTTATTTGTATATTCGCAGAATTAAGATAACATATAGTTTGTGAGTGTAAGGTTACTTCTGAATTAGGGTTACTTAGAAATAGCTTTTACCAAATGATTCCTCGACAATATTCAAAATCAGTGACATGTCTTTTACCGAATTTCATTCACCTAACCGTCTCAGTACACTGTGCGTAAGGTATTTATTCCACAACAAATCAGTCTAAGTTTTTTTACAGAACATCGATGAACCTGTTATGCTCAGTCATTTCAAATACACTAAAAAGAGTTTTATACACTTATCACAAGATCTGTCAAGTAACTTTAGGTGTGGGTCAATTGTCAGTTTTCTCCAACTTTACCTAATATAGTGCATAGTTTGTAAGGAGTATTGAGTGTACATAAAATAGTTATTTGTAAACCTAGTTCTTGTAAGATACTTATCTGCAACCGATGTCCCAGTATAAATGGCTAGATGAACTCTATCTCAAGTATTTCAGTTGATTCACTGTTCGTCAAAGCATGCTTTGTGGTGAGTACATTGTACTATGTAAACTATCAAGACTAAACCATTTTTAGTCTAGTTATGTGTTCGCGACATTATTGCATAAGAAAGTTCAGAAGGATGGATTAACAAACTGTTGGAATCAATCGTCGGAGTAATTGAGAGGTTACTTTACTCAATCTCTAGCAACCGGATTATCTACAGAATGTTTTTCAGAGCATCATAACACATGTCTCAACCATACTGGCATATGAATGTTTAAAGTCTTATTGATGACATATATCATTTTCGTCCTAAATTATGCGCCTTACGTCAGGATTACTTTTTTAATGGTTGCCACCAAGTAAGTCTGCTTAGTGGAATTCGATAGACTTTTTGGTCTATTCCATTGTTCCAAATAGCAAGGGATGAGTTCTTAAGTTTGAGGGTTCATTATTTTCAGTTGTCAACTAAGGGAATCAGTTGGCCTTACATTATAACTCGCCAATGTGATTGATTACGATCATAGTTGCTGATGAGCGGCCAGTTCGAACCATTAATTATCATTTGGAGCTTGTAGTCGCAAAACTTCGCTGATATTCGAACACAGTTTTCGAGCCGTTTTGATCAAAACCTAAAGATGACAATCAGTGACATTGCTAACGAATATCAGAGGTTAGTAAATCCTCTTGAGTATCTATCATTAAAGCTCATGAAAAAGTTCAACCTGTCTTTAGTTAGCTATGAGTAAGAAAGTAATGGGAACCAGTCTTGTTCATCACCGTTGAATTTGGGGTTACAAATTACTAATTTAGTTCACAAACGCATTGCTTTAGAATGCTTTGGGAATATAGTTTTAGAAAGTGAAAGTACTTTTATTGACGTCAACATTTTATTTCATTAGCAATGTGATTTCACTACTGGTTTTCAAAATTATAACGAAAACAGTTGAAATCGGGGTAACAGATTCTGTCCATAATTGAACGATAGGAATTGCGTTCCTTAATAAGTCTCTCGCCATTCGGCATATGTATACATTGAAGATGCTATTGTGTTTTCATCTTACATCTTGTCTATATGCAAATGATTCAAAGTAAAGGGCTGTAAAATTCATGACACTTCTTGAGAAGTGGGAATGCTCACTAGATTATGTATATGAAGTTTTCTGAAGTCCAATATATTAATTAATTTTATTTAAAGCAGTTCACTAAGAAACCTCTCATCTTATTTCCATTTTGCTGAAGTTCAGCTATATACGGAACTACTAATGTAAAGGAGGTATTTCTTTGTCTGATACTTAGGGCATTAAAGTTTTGGTTATCTGTGTTATACGTGAACACAGTATTTGGTAGTCAACACGATGGTTATAAATCACGCATTATTGGGATGGACTTTGAAACTGGGTCTTACAAGTTATATTTTACATCACTCATTTTTCGACAAACATTTCAGAAAGATCTAATGCAAAGGATGATAACCTACAATCGGTAATGAAATGTTAGACTGTAGTTCAGTAGACAACTGCGCATGGATTTTTACTATAGAGGTTTAGACTACTTTTAAATGGAATGTGTTTTTGAGTTGATGTAGTTTATGTAGTTCTTCATCTAAATGACCAGAAGTGGTTGACAAATGAAGATTTGTGTCATCTGAAGTTCATAGTCCTATTCCAGTATTGGTTGTGTTTTTTCCCCTTGATTCTTTGGAATGCGGAATAGGTTCTTGGAAGATAAATGTATCTTCCATGCCTCCATCGTCGGATGTTTGTTGAATAATATTTACTATTGTGTTATCCTGTTATATCTGTTGAAAAAATTAACATGTAGTTATTCATGTTCTGCTTTTATTAAAAGAAAGTATTTTTGCCAATAATAATTCAAGAATCAATAAATACCTTGCAACATAATTTTGCTTTTGACAGTATAGGTTTATTCTCAGCACATTCTATAAATCTCATGTTTAGTACTTTGTTTTTTCTAATTTTCAGTGTTCAACGGATCTGAAAGATAAGGTGAGGAATGCTACTGAATTTGCTCTAAAAGACGTCATTCCTTCTCTGAGGAAGTGGCTTTTACCTTTAAATCCTCACGAACGATGTGAATTTCTGAGATCCTTTTGTCAAAGTTCTTTAAAAGCAAATGATAGTCCATCACTGGACTTACTAAATAGTTTATGGACCAGTATTTGGTATGAAACTAGAAAAACGTCTAAAACTGTTAAATCTGCCGTTGGTACACAAACACCTACACCTAAATTATTGTGGTTGAAGTCACACCAAACCAGACGTGTTGCAAGTATGGTTCAAGGTAATTGTTCAGCAATAAGAGCAGTAAGTTCATTTAATTTACGCATTAAATTCACCCATAAAATTTAACAAACTGACATTGTTTCTTTGAGAATCTATTTTTTAATCCCACTAAATGTCGTATCTATCATCTGTGTCTTGTAGATACTTACGTACAATGCTAATGATAATAATCCCTTTTTAAATACAAATTGGATGATCAGTTATCACTATGCAGTTAAACTAATCTTAATGATCAAGAAACTAATATTTTCTTGACATTTATTTCTTTGAAGTGAATGTATCTGTAATCATAGTTAATCGTCCTTAAATTTTATTCTGTACAATATTCCTATAAAGTTATATCTTTGTAATTCCAATCATGAGTGATTACCTTAACATTTTGGTTGTCTACATCTTCTAATCAGGTCATATAGAAAATAACCCAGGAGGATTATAGTTCATTTTACTTTTGAAGCTTCATTTTTCTTTACTTAATGAACCTTAGTTTTTTTAATGTTCGTTTTAAAGTTTTATAGTATTCTTTACCTTTAGCGAAAAACATTTTCTTATATAAAAATATAAAAGAAATATTCTCCGTAAAAATTTTTTTATATTGATCAAAAATAAGTTTTCTAAAGTTCACGTTGTTATTTATAGAGCAATCCAGTTTTCTTCTTCACTAATATTTCAACTAACTATCAATTCCTTAACTACAATCCAGAACCTTTCAAGTACCTAGTTTGATATTCATCAATCTAGTTTATTGATTTCTCAGTATTGTTTTCTTATTCGTTGTACTAAATTATTATGGTCACTTCCATGGAACTAGATAGATTTATTTGTTGTTAATGCAATATGTTCAAATTAAAACTATATTAATTACTATTTTTTCTTTGGTGACTCAATACCACACAAAATCGTTTTTAGACAATAAAATATATATATTCTTTACTGAGAAGATATTCAACCTACGTAATATACTCATAATAGTCATATGTTTTTAGATTTCAGGTAAAATGGGAGGTTTCAAATCCGCTCGACGTTTTACTTTATCAGATACCAACGATCTTACATTATATAGTGAAAATATATCTAAAGCTCGGGTTGATCTCCCATCATCACGTTTTGTTCATCGTATATCTGATGAACATTTATGTGTTTCCGATTCTGAAAATACTAAACCAAGTTGGTTAGAGGTAAAGCCAAAGTTACTTATTATTATGTTGAAGCTTTATATCTATAACCTATTCTTTTTGATAATGTATTGTTTTCTGAATATTTAACATATAGAATTCATAAAATTAGTTGAGTAAATTCGATTTTATATGTTTGTATTTGATGAATGTTATTCTTATAGTTTTTATTTTGAGTCTTATACAGTTATCTTTTGTGTATTTAAAAGTAAATAAATTGTACTTAAGAGACAAGGGATAGCTGTATTAACCCTTGTAGATTTAAAGAATTGGTATTGAATATAAATATGTGATGTTATTCAATGAGCTAATTTGATAAGTTAATATTAATAAACCTATATATCGTGATTGTTTACAGATTTATGGTCTTACACTAATTAATAGCCGTTTGCGCGCGAGATCGAAGGTCCTAGATTTGAGTCCTGCGTGCGGAATCACGGATGTACATTACTAAGGAGTCCCATACTAGAACGAAACGGTCGTTCACTGTTTCCAGGTTTTCATTGGATGTTTAGTTTAGACCGACTCGTGAATTCAACTGTTAAAAATACTACAATCTCCGTAAATCCCCTTACTGATATATGAATTAATCTGATGTCATATTAATAGTAAGACTGCCTTGCGATATCCAGTAAATATAACTAGTTATCATCAAATTATGCTTTTCTATATCACATACGATGAATGATATTGATTTTAAGGGATTTATTGTATGCTTCTTTTTAGTTCATTAGAATCTTTGTCTGAGCATAGTTTTATGACATGTTTGCGTTTAATAGACTAAAGTACAGCAACACCTTTTATTTTTTAGTACAAATAGTTTATAACATTCTCCTTGTTAACTTGTATTTGTGTTGTTATATTCCCTTGATTCAGACTGAATATTTGACTCGCATTCCTGCCTGGTTACCATCTACTTTAACATCAACTTCTTTAGATTCAGCTGAAGCAGTCAGTTATAGACTTTATCGTCGTTTGTCAGGAATGCCGTTGTCCAAGGATTCCGAAGATGAAGTGTCATATGGTCATACATCGTTTCAAAGAGATAATCATGATGTTCACATCATACATGATAAAGATCAGGACATTGATTATAATAAACTTGAAGATGATGAATTAGCTTTACTTCGAACATCACTTACAGATTGTCGACAATTATTCATAGATAAACAAACATCAACGTCTAATTTATCCAATTATACTAGCTGGCTTTCTAGTCATCCGGATCATATTACCGAACAAGGTCTTAAGTTTCTTAAATTAGGTTTCGATCTTCAGGTTAGTTAGTTATTTTATATTTTTAAAAATTTAATAATGACACTATTAATTGGCAAGGATGTAGTAGATTCTTTAAAATGATATTATCGAGGTACAAAATGTGCTCCTTAAACTATCTATCCTACAAATACTACCTATTTAACATTTTCTGCCAAATATTATAAGTGTAAGTCAGTCAATCATAAGCAACGTAGGACTTGTGCATCGGTTCAGTTTGCTACACGTATTAACATAGATAAAACTATCAAGAGAAATCTCAGTGTAGTAGAAGTCGTAATAATAATATCAGTGGTAGTAGGAAACATTAAGGATAGACAATATAATGTGAGGAAGAATTAATTTACGGAATAAAAAGATATAAGGTAATTTTAAAGCTCAAGATCTAAGATAGAGTGAAGAGTGAGTGCATCTGTGTCATTGAGACCAGTTCTTAGCCATATCTCCTACAATTAATTACGATAATTACGCGTTCCCTAAGTACCTACATACCCGACCGAAGCTGCTACCTTGACGTGGTGGTCGGGCTTGCCTATCGTGATGACCCATCCGAGCTATATTGGCTGGAACATATGTTCCTGTAGGTTCTACCATGCCAGGCAGGTCGATTGGTGAACGGTAAGACTAAAAGCAGCAACTCAAAGTCTGAGGGCGAAGTCGTACTGCTGACTGTACAGAGGTGTGACAGCAGTAAGGTGTTTCCTTCGGACAATCAGCATGACAGCGATGCTGCCTTCCCACAAGGAGGGGTGGGGTTAGAAAAGGTCGACCCTAAAAATGTCACACCTCACCTTACCTCACGGATTTCCGTCTCCGGCGGTAAGGCCATCTGAAGAACGGAGCTAACACGTCAAAAACCTTCTACAAAAAGGCCGTGCGCGACCGGCCTCAAGCAGTTGTCCCTTGGGCTCTGCGGTCACGCTCCCAGGTCGTTAAGACCAACACTAATCCAATTTCCTTTTCAGGTTCCTCAAGAAATACCCTTCCACGGTGTGGGCAGCCGGGAAGTGACATCAGCCCTCATACCCGTAACAGCACGCGAGACCAAGTTGGTCACATCCAAATCCTTCCTACACCTTCTAATACCTCTCTTATCTCCATGACTAACCCTCCTCACGTCTCTTTATCACCTCGCACCGCTAGGGCAAACGATTCGAGTACGTGGAACTCTATTCCTGGTCTCCTCAAACCACGCTCTAAACTACACGTAGGAGCTTTTAACGTCCGAACACTGTGCCAAATAGGACAGCAGGCTTTCTTAGCTAGGACTTTAGAATCTCGCGCCATCGATGTGTGTTGCGTCTCCGAAACGCGCATACAGGATCCAAGTAGCATCATTCATTTGACCTCACCATGCCAAAATAAAGAACCGACTCGATTCACGCTTCGTGTATCTGGAAGCCCTGATTCTGCTTCCCGTGGCCTCGCCGGCGTAGGTATAGCATTGAGTCCTAGGGCAGAACTAGCTCTCTTAGAGTGGATCCCAGTAGACAGTCGTTTGTGCGCTGTCCGACTGAACGGAACAGTAAGAATCCGGAAAGATACGGACACTCGTCGTTGCCTCTTCGTCGTCTCTGCCTATTCTCCCACTGACTGCAGCCCAGATGATGTAAAAGATGAGTTTTACAGAAAGCTTTCGGACCTTCTCCGAAAAGCTAAGCGCTCGGATGTAGTAATAGTGGCCGGTGACTTTAATGCTCAAGTAGGTAAACTAAGCGATAGGGAAAGACACCTGGGTGGATCTTATAGTATAGTGGCTCAAAGAACAGATAATGGCGACCGTCTGTTGCAGCTATGCTCAGATAATCGCCTGTTCCTTGCAAATACTAACTTTAAGCATAAGGAAAAACATCTTTTAACATGGCGACCCCCTAATTCGTCCCAACGTTGGACCCAAATAGATCACATCGCTATCAGCCACCGATGGAGGGGCTCGATAGAAGACTGTCGCTCATTCTGGAGCACATGCCTAGATTCAGATCATGCTCTAGTACGAGCGCGTATTTGCCTGCGTCTTACTGGACGTAGGAAAACCGCTGCAAGGAAACCTCTTAGGGGCCTACTTAATGATAGTCAAGCTAAGAGTATATTTCAGGAACAACTAGGAAAACAGTTAGGCAGCCATGTATGTGATGCCCACCCCGAGGCAGCATGGAATGATATCCGAAAAGCTGTGGAAACAGCAGTGATATCTGTTAGTAAGGTAAACCAGAAGGTTAGGGAGCAACACTGGATCTCAGCAGCATCTATCGCACTGATAGATGCTCGGAAACTCATTCCACCTGGCTCTGAACATAGTGAAGAGCGGAGTCAGCTTAGGCGCAAACTAACAAGAAGTCTACGCAGTGATCGCGAACAGTGGTGGGTAGCGAAAGCAAGAGAGATGGAAAAGGCAACGGCAATAGGTAATAGCAGACAATTGTTTAGACTCGTTAAGGAAACCGGAATTAGGAACCCGACTGTTAGCGAAACAATCTCAGAGAAAGATGGACATATTATTCATTCTCAATCCAGGAGATTGGATCGATGGGCAGAACACTTTAGGGATCAGTTCAACTGGCCTTCAGCCACACTTCGGTTTCCCACGATCTCCAGTCAACCTGAATGGCAAGTTAATGTAGGTCCTCCGTCTCTTTATGAAGTTGAAAAAGCCATAGGAAATCTGAAACGAGGGAGAGCAGCAGGCCCTGACAGGTTTACTCCTGAGATTTTTAAGGATGGTGGTCCAGTATTAGCAATGAGATTAACCGAGGTCTTAGGTAGAATTTGGGAACTGGACGTAATCCCATCTGACTGGTCTCAATCACTGATTGTGCCAGTTTATAAGAAAGGACAAAAGTCCTCTTGTGACAATCACAGAGGAATCAGTTTGACTAATATAGTGTCTAAAATATTAGCTTCAATAATACTTCGACGCCTAGTCAAAGCTCGTGAAGAGCAGACTCGAGAAAATCAGGCTGGTTTTCGACCTGGACGTGGTTGTATAGATCAGATATTCACACTACGTCAGGTTCTAGAACACAGACACACGTTTAGACGCCCCACAATGGTAGTATTTCTCGACCTTAAGGCGGCATTCGACTCTGTTGATCGTAAGGTTCTATGGCAGTGTTTGTCACTGAAAGGAGTACCAAAGAAGTACATTAACCTTATAAAGGCTCTCTACTCGAACACAACTGGTAGAGTGAGAGCTTATGGCGAACTGTCATCAGAATTGATTACCTCAAGTGGTGTTCGTCAGGGCTGTCCACTCTCCCCATTCTTGTTCAACTTTGTGGTCGACGTACTTTTAGAGATAACACTCTCCTCATCTAAATTTCCGGGGGTTGAACTTCTACCGGGAGGTTCACTTGTTGACTTAGAATATGCAGATGACATAGTTTTATTTGGTGAAGACGCTGACAAAATGCAGAGTCTTCTGACCACTCTAAGCAACAATGCAAGCATGTTCGGGATGCGATTCTCTCCCTCGAAATGCAAAATGTTGCTTCAGGATTGGGTTACATCGACACCCGAACTAGTGATAGGGAGTGAAGTAGTTGAGTGTGTCGACCGCTTCACTTATCTTGGAAGTCTCATCAGCCCTTGTGGTCTGGTGTGTGACGAAATCTCAGCACGGATACAGAAGGCTCGACTAGCTTTTGCCAACTTGCGTCATTTATGGCGTAGGCGAGATATCCGTCTACCAACCAAAGGACGTGTTTACTGCGCAGCAGTTCGTTCCGTCCTACTTTATGGCTGTGAAACATGGCCGGTAAGAGTAGAGGATATTCGTAGGTTACTAGTATTTGATCATAGGTGTCTTCGAAGTATTGCTCGTATATCCTGGGACCACCGAGTAAGTAACGCAACTGTTAGGAAACGGGTACTAGGTAAGGATGGCAAATCAATTGATGAAGTAGTGAAACTTCATCAGTTGAGATGGCTGGGACACGTGTTACGTATGCCCAACCACCGACTACCTCGACGTGCTATATTCAGTGGTATAGGAGTAGGTTGGAAGAAAGCTAGGGGCGGCCAGACCAAAACATGGCACAAATCCATGATGTCACTGACAAGTGGTCTGAGTCATGTCGGTAGGTGTAGACTACCTGGTTGGGGACCGCGAGATGATAGCAACCGATGGTTAGAGACCCTGAATGACATGGCTCAAAATCGTTTGCAATGGCGCAGGTGCATCCACTCTCTATGTTCTCCCAAATTCTAATTATCTGAATTCTTCATGCCCCTTTTTTTCCTCTTTCCAAATTTATTTCACTGGATTATACTCGTTAAATAACATCTCCAAACCCTAATATTCCCGATTACTGCTTATACTCTTGCTACCTCTACCACTACGGGATTTGAATCGACCACTGCATCTCTGTGCTAATGTGGTATGGCAACTCGAACTGATGTACGTACGTACTAAGTTCTACGTTGTTACTGACTGACTGACTGACCTACATTACACAAACCAACAACCAGTAACTTCTTAAAGTGATGCCTTATCTTGATTTAAAATGTTCCTGATTGTGTTGCTAATTATTTGTCTTCTGTGCTTGGTCTTATAAGTAGAGACTCATCATTTTCTCTACTATGGAATCATTCAGTCATCATAACTTTAGCTTGTATTTAAATACAAAGAAGCAATGCAAAATCAGATCGATGTATTAATAGCCAAGTTACTTTAAAATTGTCGTCCAATCATGTAGCATGTATTATTTATGTGTGTATTGGTTATGCATAGTACATGTATTAAAAAGTATAGATTTGTTCAGATTTTTCTGGATGTAAATAAAGATGTGATGTTGATTTATTTGGAAATAAGAACAACACAAGTCTTATAAAAATGGACTACTCGGTTATTTGAAAAGTAATATCGACCTAATCGTACACGTTATGAAATTTTAAATATTCTGTTTAATTTTTGTACTTTTAATAGTTCGATTTAATTTTTTTGTTACAAGCATTACAAAACGATATAACAATAATAATAATAATAATAATAATAATAATAATAATAATAATAATAATAATAAAAAGTATCCTTAGAAACAATTATCTCGTTATAAAATTGGATTGTAGCTGATTGACTGACTGATATATAGAAACGTTTTTCGAAAATAGATTGTCTTTTGCAAAATAAAATCATTATATTGCAACCAGTATTCATTTTAAGTTAGGTAAATCAAAACGGATAGCACTGCTACAGAGATCCATTTACTCAAAATATTGACAATCATATGTATTCGTCAGTTTTCGTCTTCTTTAGTATATCTTTCTCATTCTTTTAATATTTTACATCTGTTGATGTAATTATTCTCACTGGCTTGTGCACTTTTTTCTCTCGTCTTACTGATTGGAATTGTAAGAACCATTTATTTGATGTCAGTATTTTAAAAAAGTCGTTGTGAGTAGGCGGATTCAAGAGTCAGGATAAATGCAACAACTGATCGTATAGATAGGTGTCTTTTAATTATAATTATAGTAATCACTGAACCATTAGTAAAAATAGTAGTTTACATATGCAATAATTCTGAATAGTATTTAGTTTATCTTAATAGAATGATGTTTTATTTAGTCGGTATTATACAAGTTTTGTAAATTGAACTACCTGTCTTTTGCTTTCTTTTTTAAACATTCCATATTGTAGCCTGCAAAAACTGAAGATACAGGTAAGCACTTTCTATCCATTTTATTTTATTTGAGTATGTTTATTCATCTTTACCGTTACTTTTTCTTCAAATGGTATACAAAGCTTGAAACAGTAGATCATTTTTCAAGATTCTATGGTACTCTTAGTTATCAAAACCTTTATATAATACATTTTGCAATAAAGCCGAGTAAATCTCATTGACTAGTCATAATCCTTGTTCTCGGACTTACTCACTTTAAGTTTTCTGTTGTTGATTTTAGTTGTTTCGCGGACTTCTATATCCTACAGTCACTATCATATATTAAGAGTGGAAAATGTGTGGTATTAATAAAAAGTATTACGTTCGAGTCTTTGAGTGAACATTAACACTAGGATATGGCGAATACATCCAACTGCTGATAAGTTTCAAAGAGGACAAAATGTGCCTCCTAAATTCTACTGCTAACCACTACCCATCTTCATCTAAACGTCCTATTATTCAATTAAAATTTGTTGATTTAATAACCTTTTTACGTAAATTGCGCAAGATTTAACCCCCTACTAAATATCAATAGTATATGGTAATGTAGGTTTATATTTATTGACTCCGTCAGCTAAGTAATAGTTAGTTTTAAATTCGACTAACCTTCTTGAAATCTGCTTGTCAATAATGTAATAGATCTTTTATTTATTGCAAACTGAAGTTTTAAAGTTAGTTCAATCGATGGCATTCACAAATATTTTAGTTTATGAAGCTCTGAGATGTCCATAAAATCAATCATATTTTACATGGTATTCATTGTGTATACATTTTCCGTCTAGGCATTTTCCCCGAGAATATTTAGCTTTATGATCAATGTGACAGATTCTTGTCCTTTAAAAAAAGTCATCGAATAAATTCCATATTTCTTTGATAATGAAATATAATGCTACGCTACTTGTATCCTCCATCTTTTATCAATAGTTAAGCTACCAGAGTAATTTTATGTAAAAAAGATTAATTTATATAAGGAATGTTTATGATTTCACATTTAGTATGAATTGATCTATAAACTAACTGTTTGTTAGTAATTTAATATCTTTATTCATTGGATTGCTAGTAAAAAGTAATGCTTTATTTTTCGTGAATAATTCAAGTACACTATGAAACTCATAGTGTGCTATATCACTAATTATAAATTCTATCAGAAAAAAACATTTCATAATCGTTAAAGATCAGTTATTTAGAGAATGGGTGTTATAAGTCTCAATGATATCTATTTTGGATGTAAATGGGTATCCATTTTTCATCACGGGTAAAAAAGCAATTGAAAGTCAACAACCACACTTTTCTACTGTACTTGGTACTTTTAACAAAAATATGAATAATACTCGTAATTTTCTATTAAGAATATTTAATTGTTAATCTTCACCATCAACTAGATTTCATTTTCGTTATGTGATTTTTGAAACATTTCATGTTTCTTTACAATATTCTTGTTGACTCGTTACTTTTGCGTTGTTTTTTCACAATGGTTCAGTTAGTCCTATTTTAACCTTTTTTAGCATTATTCTTTTCGTTTATAAGCATCAATTGGCAATTTTTATGTCGAATAACATGCTATTTATTAAAGACTGATATGAATGGTTTAGTGAATATCTATTTTCTCTTCAGTGTTGATCATTCAAATTTATCTTTGGTTTATACTTGCTTCACCTTCACATAAAAACTTATTTCTTGTTATCAGTTTGTAACTGTTTATTGAGTTACATATAGTTGTCAACAGCTCACCGTGACGTGTTACATCTTTTAACTGAGGGTTAGGAATTTTAAGTTGTTTACTTGAGAATTTGTGTTGGTGGCCTTTAGTTGTTACATTTTTCACACTTATTTGTTGGTTATTCATCCATTTCGTTTTAATCTCTTGATACCGTTTGTGTTATCTCTCCCGGATATTATTATTTTATACATTCATTGCACTGCACATAATTGTACTACTAAAGTGTTATTTCATGCTCTATGTTCTCAGTTGATCTGTGAATTTGATCATAATTTACATTCTTTCAGAATTAACTATACAACGGGGTTTTCATTCAAATATTTTCATTTTATTCACTGTGTATGACTAGGTGTATTTGAAGGTTTTACTTAATTGATAAATTATAGAAATTACTGGACACCCCATGTATCAAAGCTTTTTTTAAACATGGTGTTCTCATTGACTATTTTCAGTAATTATTCTCTTAAAATGTGTTTGTGTAAATGATATTCTTTGTTATTACTTCAAGGCATGACACTAAAAATGACTAAATCAATACTTACTAACGAACAACAAAGTCACCCGTCTTTTCATGTTACATTTGATCTTGGCTGTACAGAAGATTCAAAAATAATGATATCAGACGAGTAAGTTTTGATTAAATCTATCATTGGAATTCAATGTTGAACTATTTATTCCCTTATATTAGTGTTTTTCAGTTGTCTACATTTTCTTTTAATATTCTATCCAAAGAGATAATGTAATGTTTCACAGTTTTGCTCCAAGTATTGGGTACATCACTTTTTCTGAGTATTTTAATCTAATTATAGACTAATGGACAGACAGTCGATTGTAAATTTATAACTGTTCTACACCGCTTTTATGTGAGAGATTAAGAAACAAAGTAAAGTTTTAGGGTGGAATAAATTGAATATTTATGTTTTTATTCTGTGATTTTGTCGAATAATCTAATGTATTTATTGGTTAGTAGTTTGTTTTAAACAATTAGGTCTTTAGTTCGTATCCTTTTGGATGTATTTTGATTAGAATATGGATGTAATATCTCTAGTTGTTTTACTTTTAACCACAGTTGTTTTAAGTAGACATATAGGTGACACCAAAAACAAGAGTATGGAGTCGATACAGTCAATAAAATATCGGACAACGTGATGGACGAAGTACTGTTGAAAAAATGTTGATGGATTATTGAGAATAGGATTAGGTCTTGGTGACTAGTGGAAACGAATTGATTTTCCACTGACAACCTCATTGTCTTGTTCTGTGTCAGTAAATACAGTGATTGTAATTAATTTTCATTTTGGCGTTCTTGTTGATGGTGAAACATGTTAACAAAGCCTATCACCTAAAGTAGTCCTTCGTACGGTGGTTATAACAGCATATGAACATGGTCAACATAGGCAAAGATAAAGTCTCAAATTATCTACTTGTGCTTCGAAACCACCTCACCTAGCTTATATGATCCCATTAGTTGTCCCTTTGATCTCATAAATTGGGACCATGCCCTGTCGCGTAAGTTACTGGCGGTTGACAACTGTAATCGCTTCTCACCCGAGCCCAAGGTGTATTGTATAGCTGTTGCTCCTCATAGGGTGTCTCTTCGAGAATATGGTCTACTAGGTTTCCCACCTGTACCATTATATTGATGTTGGGGATTCTAGATCCCCATAGATCACTTGGTAAACGTCTTATTTTTGTAACCTTATTTTAGAAATTGGAATTTCTCGTTTTCACTCCAAAAGCGCCTATTTTTACTTTCAGATTGTATTTCCCACACGAAAGGACCCTAAATGTCATTGGTTGGTTGCCTCTTTTAATGTGCTGTTTCCGAAGGGCATTTTTATATTGTATATATACGCTTGAGTTGTGTGCTTGTTGTTGTTTCTGGCTGCTTGTCGAATATGCCTTTCCATCATCTCAACCAGGTCTTTTCCCTCTAGTTAGAGGAGCTGGGGCGCATCATAATAGTTAACTTGTTTTGTCTCTATGTCGCTGATCTTTCATTCCGTTCGCCGATTTAGGTGATCTCGTAATCTCTTAAAACATAGCAATTGGTCAGCAGCACATCAACCAAATGTTCCTAACGTGAAGTTTGCGGTCGAATAGCATAGGTCAAGAACTGCTTAAGCCTATACAAACCACGTATGGACGTTGTTGGGATCGTTTTAAGTAGTTATAATTTTCCAGTGGTGTCTGGTAAAGCATGTGGTATGTTTTTATTTTTTTGAATGTCTGATGAAATCGATGATAATGTGGATTTATCATGTCCCATAGCGAATCAAAAACATTATTATGTACAGGAATATGACAACAATATCATGTATATAAAATGTAGCCGAAAATAGACCAAGTTTAGGTTATGATCACAAACGTTACAAACTTGAAGTTTTCACAAAAGTTTCTGTGAATCAAATGAGATTGTAACAATTAGTTTCATTAAACATATAATTTATCTTAACCTTTTAATCCTTCCAGTCATTCTGTTATTTATGTGCATAACCTTGAGAATATGCGTATGATAGAACTTGTATCAGTATACTTGTATCTCTTGCATTCTTGTTAATATTCTTACTCATCATTTATTGAGTAGACACGTTTACTTTCCCCGTTTCTCATCTTTCATTGGTTGTCTACACTAAAAGATGTATAAAATACATGTATTCGTAGGCACTTTCGTATTTGATTTGCTTTATTCCGCTGCATGCAATAACGCGATTAAGTCAATGAAAGTAAACCAAGTTAGTTAAGGAACTATATTTCATCATTCTTCATTCAAACACAGTTGACCACAGATACACTTGAATCAAATGGAAAACGTAACCAAACAAATATTATCATATATGTAAATATGTTAAAAGTTAGCTTTAGAATAATCTTGAAATAGTTACACTACTTAATTAAATGTTTGTTCAGAATTTAAATAGAGACGATTAAACACAGAAATGATAATTTTCTCTATCTTCTAAGTAGTTATCATTTGAATTTGTAAATATTTATTGAATATCACCAAGTGTATTGTTTTTTCTTCGCATTCCTTGTAAGCTCAATAGAGGTATTAGTGAAAATTTATATTATAGGTAAATATTTATTATTCCTTATCAAGTTTACTAAGAGTACATATTATGTATCAATAATGTTCCATATTTCACTTAGTCATTAAATATCACTTTATTATATCATTTCTTTATAAAATAATTAATTACTTATGTACATTTGTGTATGTGTATATGTAAGTGTACTTTTTTACTCTCTCTCCCTCTCTCTCTCTCTTTCCCTCTCCATATTTTTCTACTTTAGGACCGTGGATGAATAATTTCATGAAACCAAATACAATTCAATTATTATTAATGAATCGAAAATTGAATAACAATTATAACATTAATTGGTTAAAACAATTTATATCAATGTATTCACATGTTATTCGTGTTAGTTTTATAAAATTTACATTAAATTTCTTCTCAAAAATATAATCATTTTCCTTGTTGTGTACATCTTGTATTTTTGTTTGTTTGTTTGTTTTCCCTTTCTATATACGTTAAATGTTTAGTTCATTTATATTGATACTCTTTTGATTATACATTATTTTATTATGTAATCATTATTAGTTATTTTATACTTTTCTTGTTGTTCATAGTTTCACTTATTTCTTGAATTTGTGTTGTTGTTGTTCTCTTTCTTTTTTCTTTCTTTGTTTCATTATTTCACAATTGTTGTTTACATTTTCAAATCAATAATTTTGATTTCATTCTGTTTACTTTGATTGCTTATATTTTTTTGTGTGTTTACATCTAGAATATTTCTGTTTTATATTCATATTGTTAATAATGGTACGAATAATAAAAATTTCATGTTCTGTCTTATTTTGTTTTTATTTAAACAAAATATAAATCTAATTTTTATTTCCGTAATTAAATGTATCATATTGAATCACTATCATTGACCTAATTTAAAAGTTACATGGATCAAGTTAAAGGATAATGTAATATTCATTGATGAAGTTCATGATTGGTTTATCTCTCACTAAAACAATATTGAGTTCATATTTATATATTTTATGGTTGATAATATTAGCATAATTAAAGATGTCAATATTGTTCTAGGAATTATCAGTAATTTAATTGTTAAAGTATTTACATTTCAACTAATAAGATGCAAAGTTCGAACCTTTCACTATGCACTCCATTTCAAACAACAGGGTATCAATGCTAATCATCACATAAACATTGTGATTAGAAGTAAGCTAAATAAATCGATAACTGGTAAATCAATTACATTATACGCTAAGAAGTAGATATCTAATTTCATGTCATCGTATAATGTTTCCTATTGTTTTCTTTCACAGTTATGTTTTGATGTATGTATGTATGCTGTAACAACATAACTTAATATTTCACTTTAGTAATGGCAATGTAAATAATCAATATTGTTGTTTTTTGGCACGTTTATACAAAACCATGTTGTATACGTCTTTTGGTTTAATGTGTGAAAGTATAAGTGATGATCGTTCACATATACCTGAATGTATCAACTGAAACAATATACATACTAGAACATATCCAGATATTATCTCGAAGATGGAATAGGAAATTCACAGATACTTTCAAACCAAAAACATAATTATTTACTAATCCCATTAACATTCCTGACAGTTGTATTTTTTTTTACATGGTTTCCCACAATTTTAAACTTCACCAAAATCAATTTTTTGCATGACACTGACCCAGTTTGAATCTATGTCTTCGGCCTAAATCTTCAGTTTGATTATATAGAAAATGTTGACATAACTCGATCTGACAGGACAAAGTCACTGAAATATTACGAGTCGAATGCTCTCAAGCTTATTGTGCAGTTATTTTTATGCTACTAATCTACACCTACCAAAATTCTTCTCTTATTGGTTATTTCTTTACTGTGAAGCAATCAAACCATCATTTATTAATTATTTAGTTTGAATCGATAAGTTATTTGCTCATATAACTACTGTTTACATTTTTTCTAGATGTCATCTTATATATGATTGTAATGCAACGTGCACGAGTAAGTTTTAAATTTTTGAGTTACGTGAGAGACAAATGGTTGTTAAGCGATATATTATAAACGTTAATTCTCTGATTAAGTCAGATGTACATATTTCACTGATTTATGGATTATTCATTATCAAAATAAGTTTACCAAATTGTTTAATCATTAGGTATACTGACTACATTAATAACTTAACTGGTATGATTTAGTTACTTATAAATAGGATATGTGATTGTGGCTTTTCCCAACGGTTGAGTGATAAAGCTTCCAAGTTTTTTTTATATATAGACTGATTTGTAATAGGGAATTCTACGCTACTATTTGTTATTCTTTGTTCAGTTTACATAATGGGAATTACATTACGTAACTTCAAAAAGTGTTTCTTATCTCTTCAACTGATAAAGTCTGTTTACACGTATATGAGTTATTTTGTATGGTGGAAACAAATAACCTTATGTTTATCTCATGTTTGTTTTGCATAATCTATCAGGCACTACTTTTGTAATATATTAAATGATTGTTTAATCTTTGGCCAAATACTCAATTTAACTAACGTGAATCTGCATATATGCCAAAGTGTTAGTGTTGTTTAACTTCACTAATGTTAACATTTATGAGTATGTTCAGTCTTATCTAAATGTGAAGCTTATATAACATTTTTAATAATAGGTTAACTGGATTTTTAGAATTAGTAAAAAGATAATTTTGTTTCAGAAAAAAAGGCTAAATTAAAGTTTTTTGTATTTCAGTTTATTAGAACAAGTACTAGATATTATTTAGGTTTGTCTTATAATACCAACTGTGGTTGTTTGGTGTTTTTCAAACTTCATTTCCAATTACAAACTATTAGTTTTTATTTCAGATGATCTGATTGTATACTGGAATGTATTAATAAGCTTTCTCTAGTTAACTAGTAGTTTTGACTGAAAAATAAACATTTTTCTTTGGTCATTATGACTGTTTCTTCTGTGTGTTGAATGAACTCTCAAATAACAGCAGTAATTTCACTGTGATAGTTCATCATCTTTTATAGAAGTAATTATCTAGATTATGGTTGAATTTTAGTGTAATATAGTTAGTAACAAGTTTTAAAAAAATATTTTTTACAGCCTTTTCTGTTTGTCTTTGTTGAACATTGTATCATAAAAGACATATATTTGATTAGAATGTGTTTTGTGGAGATTTTAGAAATTTCACAGATTGAAATCATGAGTCAGTTGAAGCTAGACCACCATTGAAAACCTGGAAGCACTGGACGGCCGTTTCATCTTAGTATGGGACTCCTCGGCAGTGCGGATCCACGATCCCGCACCACGCGGGGCTCAAACCCAGGACCTACTGGCTTCGCGCGCGAGCACTTAACCACTAGACCACTGAGCCGGCATCCAACGGTGTTAATGTCTAACCTCAGCCCCGCGTGGTGCGGGATCGTGGATGCGCACTGCCGAGGAGTCCCATACTAGGATGAAACGGCCGTCCAGTGCTTCCAGGTTTTCAATGGTGGTCTAGCTTCAACTGACTCATGATTTCAATCTGTGATATATTTGATTGTTCCGTTAATTTATCTTTTTTCTCTCTTTTTTTGTTGGTATTTACAGAATGATAAACTAATTTTCTTTTTATGATTTAGGCCTTGAATATATTTAAAAAACTTCACCGTACATGTGAAAATGTATTTAAAGCTGATATCGAAACACTACAAGGTAAATTCCAATATTTATATAGTTGGTTTATGCGTTTATTCACGTACATATATGTTCAGAGTAATTTACAACTATCATATTGATTTAATATTGTAGGTTGAAGTATCACAAGAAAAATACAGTTTTCTCAAAATTTTTACTTTCTCTGTGTTAATGTTTATCAAAAAGTCATTGGAAGTTAATGTTCTATATATTCTTGTGATTACCTCTGAAAATCTGATATCTAACTGTTTATGTGAACAATTTTGTTTCATTCATTTCACTATTATTTAAACTATTGTTGAAAAGACTTTTGAACACAGTTATCATACAAATTTATTTAGCTAAGGATAAATATTGATAATAAATAAATGTATAGGAGTTGTGGAGATTATTAAGTTTTTGATTGAGATCATGAACCAATTGATGTTAGATCATCACAATTGAAAACCTGGAAGCACTGGACGGCCGTTTCGTCCTATTGTGGGACTCCTCAGCAGTGCGCATCCACAATAGGACGAAACGGCCATCCAGTGCTTCCAGGTTTTCAATTGTGATGGTCTAACATCAATTGGTTCATGATGTCAATCAAAAACTTAATAAATAAATGAATGAATAGGTTGGTTGATTTTTCTACAAAACGATGAATGGATGATTACGTACAGATTCTTTTTATCAATTTTTTTTTAATGAATAGTAAGACTTGTATTATAGATATTGGTTCAATGTACTTTTTAAAAACTGAGATCCATTAAAAAATCATTAAGGTTGAAAATGGTGAGTGACGATGACATGATGTAAGATAAGTCACAGTAGGGCATAGCTTCATTTATTCTCTATCATTATTTAAATCTTGATTCATTTATTATTTCCAATTTTCCATTATTCGATTATATTTGTTCGTTTTTCGAACTTTATTCTTCATTAGTTTTGGTGAAATTTCTCATCCTATGTTTCTTATCTTGTTTATTTCTCCTTTGTTTGTTCTGAAGTTAAATATGACAACTTAGATCGATGCAAACTTTTCAGGTTGTGCACTAACATAAACTGACTAACTAATTGATTGAAAAGCTACTGAAAGATCATAATAAAACTAGAATGTATACTTTGTACAGTTGTGAACGTAAAGTGTAAAATTCTGTGATGCTCTACACACTCAAACTCTGATACTTCAATTATATTAGCGACAAGTTGAATTTAATCTTTTGAACACCCCAACGTATTTTCCTTTTCTGCGCGACTTTAATCCGTGAAAGACTTTTGAGTGATACTTAAGTAGCCTTGAGAAACTCCAACCACTTACTAAGGTCAAAGTAAGTTTATGAATTCATGCAAGGAATTAGTGTTAAGAGTTAGGGCTTTTATTACAGACTTGCATCATCTACAATGCTAGTATCGTGTTTAGCTCATTGTATGAATAAGTTTTGCAAGAAATTTCAAGAGGCATTTTCGTCAATCTGGTTTGTTCTTCTATGAATTATAATGCCACCACCTTTGGGTGGTGGAGTGTCTAAGAGTTGGTCACAGTGGCGTAAATGCTTTCGCTCTCTATATTCTGCCACATCTCAAGCTTCTTAATTACCTTAAGTATTTGTTTTTTATTATATCAATCTATTTCTTTCCAAATTATTTCTTCTGTGTCTAATATTTTTTACTATAATTTATGCTGTTACTATGTCTACTAATCTGGCAATTCGCTGTGCTGATGTGTTGTGGCAGCTCGAACCGATTTGCATATTTGCCAGGATCTACGTTGGGTATGATGTATGATGTTTATTGCAAATCATGTATGATTGCAAATGATGAGGGTGATATCACCGACTTCTCTGGAGTAGTTAGTGTATAATACCATACGGAGAAACTAGTTGAAAATTAAGTTCTTCAGTCTTTTTGTCTTTTATTCTAAATATCTAAATACGAAATTTTGATATGAATTATCTACGTTATTATTAATCATTCATATGTATGTTATATGCCAGTTGAGTATAAATTTTGTCTTGTTTATTTATAAAAATATTTGTGCTTATGTGCGAGCTTGTGCATGTTTCTATCTAGCCGCCAGAGAAAAGATTAATTCGGAGTTTCGAGCTAATCGAAATGAAACTGATGCTGAAAAAATAAACGAAGTGAGTCATTTGATATCAATTCTAGATCATATTTATGATTATTCATAGTGATTACTTTTTCAGTTATATTTATTTCTAATGGTTTAAAGTGACATGATCTTATTGCTTTTAGTATAAGTGTTAACCGAATGACAATCGGCATGTTAAGTGACTTTCTTTTTCATTTAAAAAAATCTATATTGTAATCACTGAACACTTGCTTTTTTATCACTAACATAACTGAAAATATTTATTTATGTTGTTTAATCAATGAACAGTGACCAATGTCACAGTTGCCTGGTTTTCTATCGATCAAGGTGCAATGCGGTCACTAGTCTAAGTGACCCGAAATCGCCAGTACTATGTTTTGATAATAATTAATTGGAGGTAATCGACGGGAAACCCTGAAACTTGATCTTTAGTATTTGATTAACACTAAGGTTTAGAAAAAAATGACATTGACCACTACTCAATTATCAGTCGATGTAAATATCTCAGTCCTACAAGAGATGACTTTGGGACTGGATGGTAGGGGTTCGAGTCCACCAGGAAGCATCAATTCTCTCAAGATTGCAAGTACACTGTGCTAACGACTGCCAGCTATAGAGAGACGTATATTCAGGGCATCTTGTTAACTGCTTTCAACCCACGTACGTGAAAACACATGTATGAGTTCTAATGCTAATTATATTGAGCTGTAATTTGTTGATCAAGATACTTAAATCTGCACCATTAAATTAAAAGGTCAAAAATTACTTTAATGCAACTAGGTATTATAAATAACTGTTATGTACGAAAAATTCAGCTCAAAACTGAGTAAAAAAACTTGAAGTTGGTTGCTCAGTTTAATTTGTTATATTAAACATTATTAAACCGTAACATTTAATCCTTTGCAGTATACAGCTACTGCCAAGGAAGTCCTACTGACTGCTTGAATGGAAGAAAAGCGAATGTGTGGCCCTTTAATCAGGTTGGTGGATATGGAGGACTCACCTAGGGGATTGGAAAACCCTGATTATAATCCAGTGGTACACATGGGCTCCAGGATCCTAAGGGAACAAATGGCGTATGAATTAATTGTTGGTCATCGACCACCATGAGACTATATCTCCTAATGTTACCTTACTGCCTTGTGAATTAGACCTTTAGATCAAAGGCTCAGGGGAGTAGCCCTCTAAGAAAACCGCCATCTTCGGCTTGAGTGCCCGAGTAGTATTCTAACCCTCACAATAATCGAATGATTTGTGTGGCTCATATATATTTGGTGCCTTCATGTACCAATATTTATGTGTTTAAATACATAAATAAAAACAAACCCTTTGATCAAACTGCAATTCATTATTCCGTACTGCTTAATGTAATCGACTATTTTTACATTTATTTCGTTAAAATAAACAGTTTTCGTATTATATATTTGAAGATGATCGACAGGAAGTTTCGTACCAGTTATCACCCGTCAGTATTTACAAAGGAATCGATATTTTATGGTTGTATCTGAACCACCATAATTCAATAACAAATTTAGAGATATTTTTGCTTTGGCTGTTCAGTTTATAATTAGTCTCTTAGACTAATATTTTTACACTGTACATATATACATTGTTATTGTTTTATCTTACATTTTGTATAGTTATTGAAAAATGCAGAAGATTGCGAAACGTTAATACGAACAGCAGTTATTCAAATGGAACTCATCGATGCCGAGAAAAATGTTTATAGTAGGTGGAGTCATAATAATATCTTCATATGATCGTATCATTCAGATAGTTAAAAGTGTTCTGTGCCCCCAAATGCCTTGGTACGGCCGAGCGTGGGGAGAGTTCACTTTCCCTCTCGAAGTTCTCTTACATGGTCACGCGCATACAGCCAATGTCAGGGAAGTTCTACTCACTGCCTTCTCATCATGAGGGTGTTGTTTACGAAATTGAGAGGATGAAAAGCGAATGTCCGGCGTTTTAACCGGGTAAATGGATATGTATTCCAAACTAATATTGCATATGAGCTCCAGGATCTTGAGGGAACAAATGGCGTATGAACCAATTGTTGGTCATCGGCTGCCATGGGACTGCATTTCCTTACGTTGCTCCACTGCCGTGTAGATCAGATTTTTAGGTGAAAAGCTCTGGGTGCGATGCCCTAAGAAAACCATCTGCCTCAGTCTGGGCACCCGGGCAATATCGCATCCAACTCACAAATCAGTTGATTTGTGTAGCGCATATGTATTCGATGCCCCTTTGTACCAACATTTGTGTTCAAATAAATAAAATAAATAAATAAAGTAATCTGTCTTGTATTGCTTAATTCATTTAAAAAAATCGTCTAGTAGTTACCTAACTGAGATATACGGATGTAGATTCTAATCACTGTTTTCATTCACACTATTTACTATTCCACTAATATTTAGTCAATCATAAAAAACACGTGATCTGAGAAAATGTGGATTAGTTTTAGTTGTCATAGTTTCAGATCAGCACAGCGGCTTAAACAAGTTGTGAAATGAATTATTACAGACAAAATATATAATTGATGTTAAGGATTCCAATATTTAGCATTTTTTATCATGCTAACTATTGAGTCCTTTTTAACACTGGGACTAAAAAATATCTATGTAAACATCCGGGCCCTCAAATGCCCTGGTACGGCCGAGAGTGGGGAGAGTCCGCTCTCCCTCTCGAAATACTCTCACACGGCCACGCGTATACAGCTTTTGCCAGGGAAGTCCTACTCAATGCCTTCTCGTGGAGGGGTGTTGTTTACGAAAATAAGAGGACGAAAAGCGAATGTCCGGCGCTTTAACCGGATCCCAAACCGATGGTGCACATGGGCTCCAGTATCCTGCGGGAACAAATGGCGTATGAACCAATCGTTGGTCACCGGCTATCGTGGGACTGCATCTCCTTACGATGCTCCACTGCCTTGTGGGTTAGACCTTTAGGTCAAAGGCTCGGGGTGTGGCCCCTTAAGATAACCACCTGCTTCGGTCTGAGCACCCGGGCTGTATCGCAGCCCACACGCAAATGATGAACTCTCTATATCTATGGAAACTACTTTTCTCGCTTCGAATAACAATCAAATGATTCAAAAGATTATTATTATTATTATCATCATTTACTACGTCATTATTCACCCTCTTTTATACTTATACAGTGGCTCGTCTTTGGTGGAAATTCAACTGTATCTAAACGTTCTCGAGTCACTGTCCGGTTGAAAATTGTATGTTACCACTGAATATGAGTACTGAAGCAGTTTTTCTGAAACCATGTGCACCATTCAATTTGGCTGCCTTCAACGTTCGCTCACTTATTCAGGTTGGACAACAGATAGGGCTGACTTCGTCTTTGGAAAGTCTTAATATCGATGTCTGCTGTCTATCCGAGACCCGTATTCAAGACTTTGGTGAAGTACTACAAATTTGATCTCCATCTGTCGCTTCGGAAAGCTTGTTTTACGTGCGCTTATCCGGGGACCCTGTGGCATCTTCGTCTGGTTTTGCTGGCATTGGTGTCGCACTAAGCGCTAGAGCTGAGGCAGCACTAATCGATTGGATCCCCATTAACAGTCGGTTATGTGCTGTTAGATTAGAGAGTTCCATCAAAGTGAGAAGAAATTGGCGTGAGAAACGATATCTTTTCGTCATCTCCGCCTAGGCCCCGACAGATTGCAGCCCGGATGCAATCAAGGATGAGTTTTACCACCAGTTATCTGTTCTTCTCCAGAAAGTGCGTTCGACAGATATTGTAGTACTAGCCGGAGACTTGGATGCTCAGGTCGGGCATCTAGGCACAGAAGAGAGTCGTTTAGGTGGCCGATGGGGACTCGTTGGTCGCAGGTCAGATAACGGGGACCGTCTACTGCAACTGTGCACAGACCACAACCTGTTTCTGGCTAGCACTAACTTTCGGCACAGTCATCGCCGATGTGCCACCTGGCGTCCTCCCTGTGCATCCCAAGCCTTAATTCAGATTGATCACATCGCGATCAGCTACCTCTGGCGTGGTTGTGTAAAGGACTGCCGCTCCTTTTGGAGTACCTTTCTGCACTCTGAGCATGCTTTGGTCTACGCCAATCTTGCCTTACTTTTCAGTGTACAACGAAGTGACCGCCACCAACGGATTGATGTTAGCAAGCTGGTTGCAATTCTGTTGCTAGTAAGTATAGAACCGAGCTAGTTTCTAGGCTAGCTACCATTCCACCGAAAAGCATAGATGAGCATTGGTTGCGGGTACAGTCAGCTGTGGGTTCGCGAAAGGTCCCGCTTATAAGCACTGGGTTTTATCAGACTCCTCACAACTCATTGAAGCCCGTCGGTCTACTCCGAGTGACCGTGAGTTTGACCATAAACGAAGGATGTTACGTAAGGAAATTAGGCAAAGCTTGCGTAAGGACCAAGAAGCCTGGTGGTCGAAGCGTGCTAATGAGTTGGAAGCAGCAGCTGCATCTGGTAATTAACGGAAGCTCTTCCAACTCATCCGAGCCACTGGCAGCAAGAAGTCTGGTGTGAGTGAAACAATCTGCGAGGATGATGGGATGCCAATCACTAACATCCATCGACGTCTTGGACGATGGGCATAATCTTTCGAAGGGCAGTTCAACTGGCCTGCTGCTCCGGCAACATCGGTCAGACTGTCCTGCCCTCCATGGCCGGTGACGACTGATCCACCAAATTAGGTGGAAGTCCGCTAGGAACTCCAACTGTTGAAGCGTTACAAATCACCTGACCCAGATGACTTACCTCCAGCTTTTTTTTTAAAGATGGTGATGACTTTCTGACTAAAGAATTGACGACGTTGTTTACAAAGGTTTGGGAACTAGAGAGTGTACCGTCATGGAATGAGTCGATAATTGTCTCTATCTTTAAAAAGGGTTCACGTCGTTCCTGCAACAACTATCGGGGGATAAGTCTATTCTCGATTGCGTCCAATCTATTGGCTTCCGTCATACTTCGTAGTTTGTTAAAAACCCGAGAAAGATTGACTCGCGAGGAGCAGGCTGGGTTTCGTTCTGATCGAGGATGTATTGATCATATCTTCACTTTCCGCCAAATGTTAGAACACCGCCATACTTATCAAAGGCCAACAATCGTAGTGTTTCTTGACACTGGGGCTGCCTTCGATTCGTTGGATAGGACTGTTCTCTGGGATTGTCTATTGAAGAAGGTTGTACCTGAGAAGTTTATTAACATCCTAAAAGCCCTATATACAAACACCTCAGGCAGAGTGAGGGCATACAACCACCTCTCTCCATTGTTCTATTCGAGCAGTGGGGTTAGGCAGGCTTGCCCAATCTCACCATTCCTCTTCAACTTTGCCATCGATGGCATTCGGGAAACAGCTCTGATGGATGTAAGTAATGGTGGTGTGGATCTGTTGCCTGGAGAAAGAATTATTGACCTTGAGTATGCGAATGATATTGTCTTACTGTGCGATAATACCCAAGCCATGCAATCCGCACTTAATCAATTGGCAATCAATGTCCGTAGGTATGGTATGTGCTTTGCACCTTCGAAGGGCAAAGTACTTCTACAAGACTGGCAGGATTCTAATCCTGTACTCATCCTGGATGGTGAGCAGATAGACGTAGTCGAGAAGTTCGTGTATCTGGGTAGCTGCATAAGTGCTGGTGGGGGTGTGAGTGATGAGATGAATGCACGTATAGTGAAAACCAGAGCGACTTATGCCAATCTGGGCCACCTTTGGCGCTTTCATGATGTTAGTCTGGCTGTAAAAGGTCGGATCTACAACGCGTCAGTGAGAGCAGTTTTGCTCTTTGCTTGTGAAACTTGGCCTCTCCGAGTTGAACACGTTATACGACTCTCTGTCTCCGAAGGATTGCTGACATCCATTGGCAACACCATGTTAGTAATGCAGAGGTTCGGCATCGTGTGTTCAGGCACAGAGATGATAATGCAATCGATGTCACCATCTTGAAACACTGACTTCGGTGGCTTGGACATGTTCTACGAATGTCGTCCCAGAGAATTCCACGTCGTGCATTATTTGCCGACTCTGGGACTGGTTGGAAGAAGCGGAGAGGTGGTCAGTACATGACATGGTGTCGTGGCATGAAAGAAAGCTGCAAAGGACTGGCTTGTGTCGGTCCTTCACGACTCCCTGGCTGGGGTCCGAGAGATGGTGCTACACAGTGGCTAGAGACGTTATCAGATATGACTCAGAATAGAAGCCAGTGGCGATCCTGCTGTAACCTTCTTTTACTTTCTTCATAAAAAGTGGTCTCCCTTGACTGAGAAATTTCTTCTGATTGTACCTTTCCGTTCCCTCATTATTACTATTATTATTACTACTCTACCTTACACCAACCTCTTCGTTATTGTTCTCTTTTTTTTCTCTTCGAATTCTCATTGTTTTTTGTGGCGCATATATATTGGTGCTCTCTTGTACCAATATTTATGTGTTCAAATAAATAAATAAATAAATAAACATCCGAGCAGTAGAATTACATTCTGTTGGTCGATTGTAGAGATTAGTTCAATTTAAATGTATTTATTGTCATTGTCTGATAACTATGATGCATTCGAAAGCTGTTTCATTCTATTCAGCAGTAGAGATTTATGATACTATCAAGTACCGAATCCGAAATTTTCAAATCTCATGGTCAGTCGTCCATATTTCCAGTTCTTAGAATAAAACAATAATCCTTGATGATATGGTGTTGAATTGCGACTGAATAGTCCTAGTCAAGAAAAAAGAATATTTATCCATTTGTTCCCTGTTCCTGAATGTTTTTCTGGTTGAAATCAGTTTTTCATGAAATAGATCTTAGAAGTATATTTGTTTATATGAATCATTTCAGTGAGACTATTTAGCATTTATATTGTTTTCAGTTATAGTTTTCTTCCTGACCTTCATAAAATGAAATATAATAATCTTAATGTAAAACTAAAATTTTGATACAACAACTAATTTATGATTTATTTTTGAATGAACTTTTTATTTTTCTTTGTAAATGAATTTGTTTTTCTTCTTTTCTACAGGAATGAATCTACGTGAAGATTTAGCATATCAGGATAATGAACATTGTGTTAAAGATAAATAAAAACAAACAAACATGAAAGAATAATTTTGTTATAACTTGTACCTTGTTCCCTGGCAATGTATCATATGATGATACAGCCACGTAAAGAACAATGAATTATCGATTGGACCAATGACGCATAAAACCCGTACGAGCAGTCTAGAGTCCTTATCGGCCGAGCCTGTTAAGTTCAGAACACCAGTCTCAGCCTCTACGATATGAATCATTTATTTCAAACATACTGGGTTTATGTGCCAACCAAACAGACCACATAGTACCATAAAATAGGTAACAACATTTGTACAAGTTTTAGCCAAATGTGGCTGTGAATGTGGGAGGTAGTAATTGATAGACTGGGTATAACTCAAGAATGGCCAACCGTATAATTACAGTTCATAGGTCAAAATAAAGCTTATGATAAGAGGAACACGAATATGGATAGATTAGTTACTTAACAATTACATGATAAAAATATACGTATAGTATTGTTCCAGAAATGGATCCCAAAAGTTACCATTCATTATTTTCATCGGGATATAACACCTCCCCCTTTTTTTCGAAGATCCGGAGTTGATGTCCGAATTTTAAATTTTCTGAGTCCAAATTTAACAGCTCAATGCTAGTAAAATCAAAGCGGTTTATTAGGATTTTGTTTTATTCATATATTTTTTAGAACGTTTAAACCATTTTATTAATTATTTGTGGATAATAATTTATTTAAATTATTATTGGATTTATTAAACAAATTATTGCATTGTTTTTATTATTAATTTAAAGCTTTATATCCTCTCTTATTCTAAGATATTAACTCATGTCTTGTATTATATTTAGTTCTTAATTGTGTATTTCTATGTAACAGGGTAGTTGAAACAGTTTGATATATAAACAATTGAGTGCAGTTGTTATTAAACACATTCAACTAGTAACAGCATTGAACGTGACTTGTCGATCTTTGGATAGTACTAATTGGCTTTACTTAAACAGTTTGATTTAAAGCTAAGTCAATAAATATGTATTAGGTAATGAGTTACATTAGTACTAAGTAATGATGTTCCCTAACGATATTATATCACATTGCTACAAAACAGAAAACGCTAATAATATTGACCACCAATTGGTTTTCATTTTTATGATGCTTTTCAGTTTGAAAGAATCACGCATGTTGATGCTAATGTATTTATAAGTGCCTATGACCCGAATAGACTCCAAACGTGACAATTAGATTTTTGAGTGATTTGTAGTTTCCGACTTGATTTCTTTTTAGAATGATGGTTCTTCAAAATAGTTTTATATTTATTGTTAATTACTTAAAGTTATAAATCATGTTTCGAATGGTTTTACTGTTTCTGATACTTTAATTATTCTGAATATAAAAAAATAACTACCCTGGCTTTCTTTAGACGAAGCTCATTGTCATCGACCGAAATACCACTGACTAATACAATCAATATTTTTCTCAACTATTCCCAACGGATCATCATAAAATATAATCGTTTATCATATATATCTTATATTATCCTTTAAAAACCATGGTCTAAAACACATACACTGTTCATCATCGTTTTAGTAATCAGTTTTTGCCAACGCCAATCACTTTCGTGAAGGCGGTTTGACGAGTGTGATCACAGGCAGATGAAAGAGGAATGGTTGAGTAAAGCGAGTCTGTGTAGTCTAAATTGTAGATTATAAATTATTGTTGGTGAACCTTTCGAGAAAATATGTATTGAAGTCCGGTTAAATGGTCTAGAGGTAAAGTGTTTGCGTGCGAGGTCCAAGGTCGTGGGTTCGATTCTTGCTTGCGGGGTCGTGGATGCTCACTGGTGAGGTGTCCCGTACTGAGACGAAGTGGCTTTCCGGTGCATCCAGGTTTTTAATGGCTGTCTAACTTTGACCGGTTCGTGATTGCAGTGAAGTTCAGTAGTCTCCACAACCCATACTGAGAGATCATCTTGACGGACCAGCTTATGAAATGACTTTTCTATTCGATTCTACTAATCTTAACACGGGCAACTCAGCATCATGAATTACTTTTAGTTCATGTTAATTCGAATCAGTTAATCGAAAGCTTAGGAGAAAGGTTAAATAATAGAATATAATTGTCATTGGATTTATAACTTGCCAGTTAGATGTACCTGGAACCATGTTGGTGTTCTTAAAAATTCTCAAACATCATGCCTACTGATCCATATTTTGCAGTTGTATATACTAAACTACTGATTTTTCTTACTCTCTGTTCAACAAAGTGTATATAGCGAATTACGTACACTGAATTTTGCTTTTTTGTATAATAATGTAGCTGTGGCGTAGTGTCAAGTAGAGTATTTAGTACTCAATAATGATTTAAATAGTCACAAATGTGAAGATCCTTCCGATGAGGAATTTTCTTGAATCATATTGAAAATCTTGATGCACGACTAAACGAAAGAATAATAATTAAATGTAATAGTAATCATAATGCGTAGTTTAATAATTTTATTTAGCTTCGCCTTTCTGTAAGATTAAAATCTATGGATGAGAAACAAAGATGTAAGACAAGTGGAAGTTAAAATTAATATGCAAGGTTTATCAATGGATATGTAACTAGTCAAACTCATGGATAGAACCATTTATTTATTCGTGTAAATATAATTTTCATAACAAACACCGTAGCTTATTTATATTAGATCGTTCCCAAAACAAGTTACGCTCTGGTGTGTGCTACTTATGTTGACATAAGTAGTATATGATGTTAGTCGTGAACAGAAGGTCTGGCAGCAGAGACAAGAGGATCAAACACTAAAGAATAGGAACAGAATGCAATTTGTATGAAAAATGTAGGAACAATGAAGCCTGGATCATTATGAGACAATCTATGAACATTTTGCAAATTACGTATTTACTATTTGGTTGTTCGATTTTATCAACAAGTCCTGTAATTTTGTGTTAAATACATTCGATTGTCCCCACTGGTGTTCTTGTTCACTACAACGCGATAAAAGTTGGACAAAAATCTTATTACAGCGTTCTAGGTGAATAAAATATTTTCAGAATGACATTATTTCCTAGGGGAGCCAAATGTAGAAGTAATTTGTTTATTATAAACAAAAGTGTCGACAACTGATAATTTTCCATGAAAGTGTTTCCACAGGGCATGTAGCTGACATCATTTCATACCGGAATTATCATAAATATCTGACATGAAAGATTACTAGGACATTATTTCTCTATCTGTTGTTGAGTTCGAGTCACCACAGGGGTGTCTTCACTGCTATATATTCATAGACTCTGTTGACTCCGCATCCTTATACTTAACAATTGGGAACCACTACAATTTCACAATGCTACTGCATACGCTTGGATATACGAGCCTTTGCAAATTATATGAACCAAAAGGAAAAACACGAAAGACTGGTTCAATGAAGATTTACTGGCTTTTGAAAAAGCACCTCTTAACAATAAATGTAATCATACTAATTTCTATACCTAGTAATATCACACAAAGGAGAAAAATCAAGGAGATACTGTAAAAACACTGAATACAGCTCATCTGAATTGATACAGGAAGTATAATTCATAATGAACGAAGTTCATATCAATCGCCCTGACCGAAATTCATAGTGAATTGATACAAATAATATTGACGTAAATCATGTTATCCTTTTGTTCTATCACATCACAGGATATTTAAAAGTAACTATTAACAACGATAATAAATTGAGAGATCTGACTACTCTATTTACGTTTTGTTTTAAATATTAGTAGAAATTAAACAGTAAATATATGACTGCTATTATGCAAGTTAGAATTATTGGAGAAGATTATACACTGTGTGACAACAACTAGGTATATCTCATTCATAAGTAAACCAATATTCTCAATTTGATCTTCAATTATTAGAATTTAAAATGCTCAAATAATTTACACGCATACGTAAGTTATAGCAAGAAAATATCAGTTATTTTCATTTCATATGGTAATTTCTTATAAGGGAATTTCAAACCATATTATCATTTATGCATACATTATCAGTGACCTGAATCAGAACTGATTCGAATAATGTAGTGTTTCCTTAACACCATCATAATCATTCCGACACAATATAAGCATACAGAAACAGGCAATGGAATGACATTCAAACAACGAATATCATTAACCATTAATGCAGAAACAATTGTCTGTGTATCCTCAATCTGACCTGAACATGACAAACAATATGTGTTGTGTTCTGTTGCTTTACGTGTGGTATTCATAATTCGTGAATATGGAATAATTAGCTTTTCAATTCTTCATCACTGGCTAAATAAACACTTAACAATTAGAGAAATTCACAGCAATATTATTTCATTGTGGAATGTGTTTGCCAAGAATTAGAGAGTGTTAATATGATAATTACTGAATTAGGACATTAAAATTTCGTTTGGTATATAAGCTGATGGATTTTTAGTAGAAGGAAACGTAATACATCTCGTGTTTCACAAATCACTCTCCCTTTCTACAACAATCAAGTTAAGATTACTAAGAATTTAGTTATTTCAGTTTCTTTGTCTTTGAATTAAGTCAAATATTTAAATACATCATACAGATAACATATGCCCTATTTTAAAGAGAAGAGAACTTTCAACTCTCACAAGTTGATAAGCGACATTCCTAATGACACTGAATTTACAAAAGTGGAGGAAACAGAAGACGGACTTTCCTTCCTAAATGTTTAAGTCATCAGAACAAAAATGGGAAGTGTGGAAATACAATTAAACAAGAAACAAAGTCACGCCAATTAACTATTAAGCAATAGCAACACTCCAATCATGTACCAAAAGAGTCATGTCAAGACACCAGTTAGAAGAGCTAAAGCCCACAACAGAACTCTCACAGCACAAACGATTCACGAAACTCATTTTTGTTCCGTTTTCCACAAGAATGTCAACCCCGATAAGACAACCAACGAATAAATATACAGTCGGAAAAACAACTGAAGAAAATAAAGAAACGAGAAATATCCCAGAAACCCCTATAAGGATTCTATGGTCCATTAAAATCAAAGTCGCTCACAAATCCACACAATACCCCACTCCATCATATCCAAACTAAAAAGTAGCACAATAAAAGAAGACGAACCCAATACCATCTACGAAATAAATTTCACTAGCTGCGAGAAATGTTACATTGAAGAGGCAGGAAACCTCAATCCACCTACTCATTCGTGAACACAGATAAATGATGAGGCCACATGATACAAATATATACAGATGACTATGATTATGAATTCTATTGAGTAATATCTAAATCCTGAATCGATGAAGCTAAGAATCAAAGAGATTTTTAGGGGTATGGCATTCAAACCAGTCAACGGGCAAATAGATATAGACCCAGTCTACGAATGCATTACAAAGAAGCTAATTAGTTATAAGTCCGGAGAACAACAAACAAAAATGGTCAATATGAATCCAAGAACAAATGAAGAAAAAAATCTGCCAATAAAGCAAATAACAAGCTAGTCCATCGGAACAATGTTTGTGAAGTTTAATTCTACATAAATTAGAGACTAAAGTTGTTGTCCAGGATGACAATATAGGCTCAGTAATTAAAACCTGGCTCAGATAACGTATTACCAAGAACATATAAGTGATTTCCGAAATTTCGGTGTCATTTTACAGACATTTTGCAGGCTATTTCATGTTCACAGCTGTACAGTAGGGAATGTATGAAGCTATCTGAGGTTATGAATCTTGTGAAAACAGAATGTACTTGTGTATGCACAAGTGAATTGTATGCTGAGATAAAATCGACAAAAACAATTTCTTAGTACAATCAGTTAATGTCTGTCCGTATCCATTCCTCGTTCAATTATTTTGTTAATTCATTTAAGCTACTCATGAGTAACACGCCTTAGAAATTATTGATTTTAATGAAATAATAGTTATAATTACTAAAGAACGAAGAGGAAAGTAAGAAAAATCTCGAATCACTGTGAAACACTCATCATATATTTCATTCCATCCCTTTCCATAAAATATTGATGGTTGTTGTAGTCAAAGTTCAACGTTTTTAATGGATTTAATTGTAGATCTTTCATTCTTTTACAAGTATTTATTCTTTGATTAGTCTACTGAGTAAGTAATATTGTTTTTGCAGTTTAAAAATCCCCATAGAATATTCAAAAATGAAGAATATTTGAGCGAATAATTGTTTTCAATAACTTCATCATCAGGTTTTACAGTTATAAATCCATAATTATTATGATTTATTACAAAGACCAAAATAAGGCATATATTAATGAACTTGACAATGTTATATGTTAAAAATGGTGAACGTTTGCATCTATTACGAAATATATAGTTCAAATTTATGTTATTTGTAAATTAGAAAGGTCAGAATGATTTGGAGCAAAGTGTCATGACATAATCAACATAATAGTCACATAATAATAAGATAAAAATTGTCTGAATAAAATGGAAAGTAGGAGAATTTCATCTTGTTAAGTGAGGTCAAGGTAATTACAATAAAAAAGGAATTCACGTGAATTTGGAAACATGAACGTGTAAATTAAAATAAGATATAAG